AAGTTCCAGATTGGTCAATCGATTTGACGAAGGGCTAACGCTCGAAACGCCAGCTTTTTTACTCTTTACGGTGGCCAATTTACGTTTTCAACTCAGTTGTTGACACTAAATTACCTATATAAACATATATATATATATATATATATATTTGTAAATTTTAGTGTACAATTTATCCTCTTTAAATTGGGGAAATTTTAAAAGAATTCTTCCAAGGGAAAAAAGATAAAGCTATGAGCGTGTACGAAGCCCGTTACTCAAGAATGCAAATTATAACCTTGAAAGGAATGACTAGTGAAACGTTTTGAGTCGATGACGTTTCAATTTGCGTAATTTTCCACAAATTATATACAAAATTGTTCCACACGCTCAATACTTTCCACCTATCAAGTTTTTTTTAAATCTAAAATCCCTTGCTTCCAGCCGCAGCAAAATGTATCGTGAACCGATGAAATGACGCGCGTGATTTGTACCAGCACAGGCATAACCGTGGTAAGTTTGGCTCATTAAATCTCCTAAACAGGCACAGTGACCTATCTTTTGCTATTGCATTTTTCGAAACAGACATTGATAAGGAACACTAAAAGAAAATTTAAAAAGAATTGTTCAATAACCGTTTTTTTCTAACGAATAACCTTAAAAGATGAATGACATGAGTTGAGATGAACCAACCAGAGAAAAGCACGAGAAAATCCTTGCTACGATCACGCCGTTCCTTTTTATACTCAGTGCCGAGAGCCTCAACTGATCACATGAGAGCATGTAAAGACTTTATCAAGATTCCCGAATCCCACCAGTTGCATCCCTTATTCCGCTACCATGGCGAAACTATTTGCTACCGTTTTACACTGCAACTCTTTCATCAGAAACACAAGAGATTTTCTAGGTTTTTTTTTCGAGCCAAATTTTATTTCTGGTTATTTGGAATAGCTACATAGCTCATAATCAGTTGCAAAAGAAAGGCTTAACGTTGAGCATATCCAAAACAAAATAAAAGGCATTATGTCTATTCTCTCGATACAATGGAGCTTGAATGCAATTGCCACGGACGAAATTATTTTCGATCTCTCGAGTAGATGGCCAAAGGGTTTCTGTTAAAGGATCCTAGTCAACCACAGGACATTGCGCGCTTAGTCCGCCATTTTCTATGCCATCTAAATTCGAGATCTCCATTGAGGTCCATCATTCCAGTGCATCCGAGCGATTTAAATATTTTGTTAGGTTCAAAATTGCCGTGGCAGCCTTCTGAAATTACTAGTGGTTTATTCTGGGTAGTTGTGTACTGGTTTCTCGCAATTTTCTTAAAAAATGTTTTTTTTGTAACTGGAACAATAAATGATATACGTTCCCTCACATGGAAGGCTTAAAGCCACGAGGCAGACGAAAAATTTCAACCTGTAGAATGACAGGAAGGATAGTCCAAACATCAGAGATCTAACTGATAGCCAATTTTCAAAGATTTTTCTGCATCAAAGCGTCGACAAGCTTCGCGCAGGGTGCATATCGCAACAGGCAAGTGACCAGCTAAAAATTGAAGTATTGACAAGCCTGCATGACATTCCTGTCATCCGCAAGCGATGTTAAACTTCTATCTTCATAGGTTAGTTCTGACTAAGTTGATGACTTTCTTTGCGATGTGATTCTGATTGAGGTGCCATTTCCCCATCAGTATGGTCTTGAGGTTAGGTGAAGCCGGATGATATTGCGTTACAAAAGGCAATATTTTCTTCTATGTGCTGTTTTGTTTGTTTTTTAGGTGACCCTTCTCAACTGGAGTTGGGTTAATATAACCGAATTTCTCCGCAGTTGCCCGTATTTTAACAAAAACAGAGGAGTGGTTGACAAGGATACTTTAAGATGCTACATCAAAATCATTCCTCAAACATTGACGGTTTTGTTAACTAAACCTTATAAAAGGCTTTGAAAAACAAATCAAACCAGATTTTAGTGGTTTATTTCATACCCAAACTGCTGTTTTAACTTTACTGATTTCGCTTTACTTAAAAGTCTTACCTACGTCCACACTGTTTTGTGCTTATTACATCAGAAATATAATTTTTGCGTAGAAAAGAAAACGAATTTTTTAGTACGAAACCATTACATTCTTCTGAGAATGTTGAAAAAGAAAGCACAAAAAAGGAAGATCTCCCATAATTTTGGATTACCCTTATCTAAATTTTAATGAAAAACCGAATGGAATATTTTCTCTACTTGTTTCCAGTCAATATATCCATCTAAAAGTCTTTTAGCTCTGTTTCCTTCGAGTAATTCTCATTACTTACTCGGGGTCTTTTTTCCTGAAAAAAATATAAAAGAGAATTATTTGTCATTAACTAAATAAATATTTTTTTGAGGCAAATACAATTATGCCAAGCACAATATTTAAAAACATGAATGGCTAACACTTGTATCTGATGGGTAGAGAAGCAATTTGGAGATTCTGTATTTTACACAAGAGAGCTTCAATGGTAACTCTCCGAAAAGAAAAGAAAAAATATATACATATACATATGTATATCGGAAGTGTGTCGATTTTTACGTAATACAGTGCTCGGTACGTAGAAGTAGAGCGCGATATGTATTGAGACGGGGAAAAAACAAAGAGTCTATACTTTCATCTCTATACAAGCCTGTTTCGTGATTACTCTCTCATCAGGGGATTTTTCCCAGATTATTTTTCCCCTGATGAGGAAGTAATCACGAAACAGGCTTATCGGGACGAAAGTACACTCCCTTTTTTTTCCCTACCTCAATATATATATATATATATATATATATGTGTGTGTGTGTGTGTATATATATATATGTATATATACATAATTAACAAATAGAGAAGCCTTGACTATGCTCTGTTCTGTTGTAAAGCACGCAGGAAGCGGTTAGAGCACGAAAGAAGTGTAGCCGAATAAAAACAAAAAAATAAAAAAAACTTCAGCTCATAAAAACACGCGAGTTTTTTCACATGACAAGGTAGAAAACAAACTGTGCAAGGCGAGTGTTTTTTGAATGAACGACAGCCGAATTCACCGGAACATGAAGATCGCTCGGGATGACAGCGCCGCCAAACTCGACTGCAGTGACTGATGTGACTTTCCACTCAACGCATCGGAAAGGATATCAGAGCAAGCTCTTATTTTTTCACTCGAAGGGCGGCCGATATAGTTTCTGAGGCTTGCTTTACTGTTATGACCGGAGATCGCCATGAGGAGCGAGCCGCGATAGACTTTAGCATGAACATATTCGCTCTGACACCGTTATGATTAGTGTGAATTTTAACAGTTATGCCAGTTTGGTTATATTTTTCATCGTTTCTGTTTTGTTCTGTTTTGTTTTTGAACACTGAACTTTAAATACTATACGAGTGTTAGCTGTTTGATTTTAATTACCGTACGTAAGCTTGCAATCTAACTGAGCGTGAAAATCTTTAAAACTCGGAATGTCTATTTTATTTTTCCTTTGAGGATTTTCCTATCTGCTCACGTTTAATAACGTAAATTAAGGCCCCTGGTATGTTTACAAACCTTTGTTTGATTCTTCTGTTGCTACTTGCCGGCTCGCTTGTTCCGAAATTTCACTTTCAATTATCGAAAAAAAGCTAAAAAGAAGTCCCGCAAAAGGTCGAACAGTACAATTTGGCAGATGGCGTGACAGCTTTAGCTCAGCTCTATGCTCTATACTCTCATACAGCACGCTCTTTCAACCAATGACAGCGCGCTTTATATTCGAACTTTATTATAAAGATATATATGACACTGGCCTCAATGTTCAAGGTATCAAAGGATCCCCGCCGACAGTGAGCGACCAGTAAGTCATAGCCACCTTTGTATCTAATTTAACTTTAATTTATGAAATACGTTTTCTCGCCGAGTCTTACCTCTGCTTGTCAAAATCGAGCCTCACGTCATCTCCAATCAGCGTAAACGAAGCCCACTCAGACACTTGGGTAGCTGAGCCCTTTTTTCTCATCCACTTCATGGCCTGATGAAGGGATTCACCGGCACTTTCTCCTTCAACAAGGTGTTCGTAGAACCGACTCATCAGCTGCTCTGTTGCTTTGTCTGAAATGGCCCACAGCGCAACCAACACCGAACGAGCTCCGGATCCTAAGAACGCACGGGCAATTCCTATAATTCCCTCGGCTCTTATCTGTCCACTTCCACTGTGACAGCAGCTAAGTACCACCAGTTTAGCTCTGACTTTCACTCGTGAGACATCAGCCATCGTCAACATGTAAGCTTCCTTTGGTGGGATGTCGTTTCGACTGTTGGCAGTAGGAACGGGGGAGAGGGCAATTTCTCCCCTTTCGGCGTCACCATGGGCAGCAAAATGTATCAAGCTCACCGAACTTATCCGCTCAAGTACCGCCTGCTTCGTTGCTTCCTTTTCTAGCAGAGGCGGAACACCCACCAGTCGTCCGACCATCTCCGCTTCCTTTCTTGCACCTGGCAATGACAGCAGCCAATCAACTGTGGGATTGCCTATTATCAAGGCACCAGTGTTGCTGTGATAGTTCTCTGGACTATCTTGAATGATCTTGAGTGTCGTCAAAGAAGGAATGATACGGATCCTATGAGTCTCCGACAGGTACTCGGCTCCCTCCGTTTCACTCAGGGCAGCAAAGGGAACTTTGTACAAACAGCGGTCAGGGACAATAATGACTTCAGGCTCCTCAAGCAAATCATAAACGGGGGAAATAAACATTTTGTAATACAAAGATAGGCGTGAAATGACTTCCTTGTCCTCGTCCTCCTCCACGAGTCGCAATCTTGCTGAGCTCTTTTTCTCGGGGGAGAGAGGTTGCAATTCAATCATATTTAAAGACCGATCTTCACAATCTTCAATTGGCAAATTACCAAGACTCCGGAGATTATCAGTCAAATGTTTACTCAGAGGCAAATCTTTGGGCAACCCTGCCTGAACTAGATTCTCTTCTACTGATATTTTTTTATGTTGCCAATTTTAGTTGTGATAACAAGCGCTTTTTGGAGATACTCTTTAGCCTTGTCGTATTTCCCGAGTGACTGAAACACAGCACCTAGGTTTCCGTAATCAGCTGCCTCTCCTTCTCTGTCGCCAATCTCTGTTCTGATGACAAGCGCTTTTTCGAGATACTCTTCAGCCTTGTCGTATTGCCCGAGCAACTGAAATAGAGTACCTAGGTTTCCATAACATGATGCTTCTCCTTTTCTGTCGTCAATTTCAGTTCTGATAACAAGCGCCTTTTGTTGATATTCTGCAGCCTCCTCGTATTCCCCGCGCGACTTAAACACAGTACCTAAGTTTCCGTAATCAGCTGCCTCTCCTTCTCTGTCGCCAATCTCAGTTCTGATGAAAAGTGCTTTTTGGAGATACTCTTTAGCCTTGTCGTATTGCCCGAGCGACTCAAACATATTACCTAGGTTTCCATAACATGTTGCTTCTCCTCTTCTGTCGCCAATCTCAGTTCTGATGACAAGCGCTTTTTGGAGATACTCTTTAGCTTTGTCGTATTGCCCGAGCGACTGAAACACAATACCTAGGTTTCCATAACATGATGCTTCTCCTTTCCTGTCTCCAATCTCAGTTTTGATGACAAGCGCTTTTTGGAGATATTCTTTAGCCTTGTCGCGTTGCCCGAACACCCTAAACACATTACCTAGGTTTCCATAACATGTTGCTTCTCCTTTTCTGTCGCCAATTTTAGTTGTGATGACAAGCGCTTTTTGATGATACTCTTTAGCCTTGCCGTATTGCCCGAGCGACTGAAACACAGTACCTAGGTTTCCATAACATAATGCTTCTCCTTTTCTGTCGCCAATCTCAGTTTTGATGACAAGCGCTTTTTGGAGATACTCTTTAGCCTTGCCGTATTGCCCGAGCGACTGAAACACAGTAGCTAGGTTTCCATAACATAATGCTTCTCCTTTTCTGTCGCCAATCTCAGTTTTGATGACAAGCGCTTTTTGGAGATACTCTTTAGCCTTGTCGTATTGCCCGAGCGACTCAAACACAGTAGCTAGGTTTCCATAACATGTTGCTTCTCCTCCTCTGTCGCCAATCTCAGTTCTGATGACAAGTGCTTTTTGGAGATACTCTTTAGCCTTGTCGTATTGCCCGAGCGACTGAAACACAGTACCTAGGTTTCCGTAACATGACGCTTCTCCTTTTCTGTCGCCAATCTCAGTTGTGATGACAAGCGCTTTTTGGAGATACTCTTTAGCCCTGTCGTATTGCCCGAGCAACTGAAACACATTGCCTAGGTTTCCATAACATGTTGCTTCTCCTTCTCTGTCGCTAATCTCAGTTCTGATGACAAGCGCATTTTTGAAATACTCTTTAGCCTTGTCGCATTGCCCGAGCAACTGAAATACATTACCTAGATTTTCATAACAGGATGCTTTTCCTCTTTTGCCGCCAATTTCTGATGCGATAACAAGCGCTTTTTGGAGATACTCTTTAGCCTTGTCGTATTTCCCGAGCGACTGAAACACAGTACTTAGGTTTCCGAAATCAGCTGCCTCTCCTTCTCTGTCGCCAATCTCAGTTGTGATGACAAGCGCTTTTTGATGATACTCTTTAGCCTTGTCGTATTGCCCGAGCGACTGAAACGCAGTACCTAGGTTTCTGTAGTCACTTGCCTCTCCTTTTCTGTCCCCAATCTCGGTTCTAATGACAGATGCCTTTTGGAGATATTCTTTAGCCTTGTCATATTGCCCGAGAGACCAAAATACGTTACTCAGGTTTCCATAACATGTTGCTTTTCCTCTTTTGTCGCCAATTTCTGATGTGATCACAAGCGCTTTTTGGAGATACTCTTTAGCCTTGTCGTATTGCCCGAGCGACTGAAACACACTACCTAAGTTTCCGTAATCAGCTGCCTCTCCTTCTCTGTCGCCAATCTCAGTTCTGATGAAAAGCGCTTTTTGGAGATACTCTTTAGCCTTGTCGTGTTGCCCGAGCGACAGAAGCAAAGTACCTAGGTTTCCGTAATTAGCTGCCTCCCCTTTTCTGTCGCCAATCTCAGCGCTGATGAGAAGCGCTTTTTGTAGATACTCTTTAGCCTTGTCGTATTGCCCGAGCGACTGAAACACAGTACCTAGGTTTCCATAACATGATGCTTCTCCTTCTCTGATGCCAATTTTAGCTGTGATAACAAGCGCTTTTTGATGATACTCTTTAGCCTTGTCGTATTGCCCGAGTGACCGAAACACAGTACCTAGGTTTCCATAACATGATGCTTCTACTTTTCTGTTGCCAATTTTAGTTGTGATAACAAGCGCTTTTTGGAGATACTCTTTAGCCTTGTCGTATTGCCCGAGTGACTGAAACACAGCACCTAGGTTTCCGTAATCAGCTGCCTCTCCTTCTCTGTCGCCAATCTCTGTTCTGATGACAAGCGCCTTTTGGAGACACTCTTTTGCCTTGTTGCATTCCCCGAGGGACCGATGCAATGCTCCTAAATTTCCATAACAGGATGCTACTCCTCTTCTGTCGCCAATTTCGGTTGCTATATCAAGGGTCCTCTTTACATACTCCTTTGATTTTAGGTTTTCGCCAAGTTTATAAAGCATAGTTCCGAATCTTGCGCAGGCGTTTGCTTCTCCAATTTTATCACCAGTTTTTCTCTTTATATTAATTGCTTTTTTATAAAGCTGTTTGGCATCTGTAAACTTTTTTAGACTCTTAACAATCTCTGCTAGAGCTATGCTTATGTTTCCCTCTTTTACCAAGTCACCAGACTCGCTGTATAAGAAAAGCAGTTTCCTGCCGTATCTTTCCGCACTTATGTAGTCAGAGGTATGACGATAGGCGCTGAAAAGAACTTCATAGAGGGCGCTGTAAAATTGTAGCAATAGTGAATCAGATTGGTCTTTGCTGTTTTGATCGGTGTTCTTTAGTGAAATCAAACATTCTTCGCATATCTCAATGGCTTTCTGAATGCGATCTGAGTTTAGCAGAAACAAGGCAACAAAAAAGGCGATGTTAATGGAAGCTATCATGGTTCTTTCCGTTAGGTTTCCATTGACATCCTCTCCTGTTAATAGGGAAACATTATATTTAGTAACACAAGTTAACTGAACGATTCGATAATCTGGATTCGTGATGAGTCAACGACTCCAAACAGGACTGAATCCATAGGTGAAGTTGCAAAAACGGGCTAGGTCAAATACACCTGGAAACTTTTTGTAACGAGCTAAGAGTTTTAGAATTCACAATATCGACTTCGAATAAAAAAAATAAGTGAAGAAGAAGCTTGGATAAATACAACTGGAGCACATCAACGGATCACATCCGGTGAAACTTGTAAAATTAATTTGACCTGCACAGCTTTTTTGAGAACGGACTGCGTGACTGTCACGCTGTGAAAGTCAACTGCTACCCAAGTGATTTTTTATCTAGCTGTTTAGTTTGTTCATCTTACCAAGTAAAAAAACCTGAACGCATGCTTGAGTTTGACTAATGGTTGTATGCCGGGGGTATCGCCATCAATTAGGCGGTTTTGAAAGTTCGCGGGTTTCTAAAAAAACAAGAAGGACTGATAAAACTTTTACTGCAAAGTTCTGGGAACTTTCGAAAATGTTGTTCCAGCAGTTTATCACCAAGTAATGAGTTTACTTATCTGAAGTATATGGCTGAAACGAATCTATTCGTAACTAATGAGGATGATTGCCAAGATTTGAGGTAACAATGGTTTGACAAACACAAACAAAACAATACAAAATTATCGATCTCGCAGCTGATACTTACGATAGAGAAAGGACAAAAACAATGAAAAACAGTCGGCACTTTTCCTTTAAAAACATCTTGCCTAATGTTAAAAACACATAATACTGTTCTGCACGTTTTTGACCGTTTAAAAAGGTAGATAAACGTTTTTGTTGTTATTTTACCAGTAATCTAATTTACAAAAGTTTGCCTGATGACGTGATGGAGGTAAAGAGATTGTAATCTCCCTTTTTCCACATTTGTAGAGGCATTTAACCATGAGTTTGTGAAATAGCAATGACAAAGTATTCAAATTTCAGAGCGAATGTTGTTTGAATTCATTTTAAAGCCTAAAAGAGCTAAGCTTCTCAACCAATTTAACGGCTGGGCTTCGTAAACTACTTGCAGTTGAAAAGTAAGCGCAGTGATCAGTTACACTTCCTTCAGTTCCTCACAAAGAATTATGCCATCTCTCTCCGTGAGCACGCGGTGTCATAGACTGACCTCTCTTCTTATGCGAGACCTTGGTACTTTTGCAAAAGGCGAACAAGGTCACGTGAATTACCAATGAAAACTATGGCCATTTAAAAACCACGAACTGTAACACCGCGAATATCCCCTGACATTAGGAAAGGACAGTCCGCATTACAAATATGTCTTAACGTAGGATTGATTTTACTTTTTGATCACGTGATTGTGGAAACCATCAGTTTCTCAAATTAAACAATGCATTAACATCAACATGAGGCTAAAATATATTGTATAAAACCTTAACGGTTTGAAGACAGAAATTTAACAGTGGAGATATGAAGCACCTGTTAAACGGAAAAGTACTCCCATACTATGTATGCAATTACGATGAATTTAAGAAAGTTTCAGTTTCTCTAAGAAAATTAAGACATCTCTCTTCGTGAGCACGCAGCGTCGTGACTTGTCTTTTTATGCGAGACTCTGACGCTTTAACAGATAAAGAAACAGATAACGGCCTTTAGAAAAATATATTCCGTAACACCCGCCGCTAGTATCCAAAGACTGAAGTGAAGGGGGTCTCGATAATGAAAAGCTCGTGTACTAGAAAAAAATTGACATATAATTTGAATCTACCGCGATCTTTGAATCGTTCGTTGAAGCCTCCTAAAACAAAGTCAAGTTAATAGCTAATGCAGATCATAGCCACTGGAAAACTATGTAATGAACCACCACAGATTTCCTATGATATTCGCGAGGGACAGTCCACAACATAAATAGAGGTCTGATTTTAGTTTCATGATGATCAATTTCTCAAATTGAACGATACTCAATAACCTTAGTTAATGTGGATAGATTATACCATATAAAGCTACAGAGATTTGAAAAAGTCGCCGTAGAACTAACTTATTTCACTGTGATGGCGATTCAATCACTTCATCAACCGCTTTATTGAAGGGCCAACGCTCGAAATGAGACATAACTTCAAATTATTGCAACAAATTAACAAATTATTGCAAACACAAAGATCGAAAAAGTAGTAACTGGGCTTTGCCATAAGAGCCTTACCTCTCTACAGTTACTAAATAACTTACGCTGATAAAAACCGAGTGACTAGGAAAGATTTTCAATCGCACTTACCAATATGTTGACAATGTGGATGATGCTTTCAGAATGAAACAACAAAAATAACGAATTACAATTGGGACTTTTCCCAACCTTCCGAAACGCTATCACAGTGTTTTGGGTATCCAGATCACTTTTGTTTTAGGTTATTCCCTTCCCCCCTCTTGGCTAGTCGAAATGAAAAGGAAAAGTTTTCAATTAGTAATTGCAGAATTTTTTTTGTGTTCGTATGCACGTCAATCGCGTCCTACTAAGTTGAAATTTTCAACAGTTAGTGTTCATATGATAAAATTCTTTTTGACTGAGTTTAGTTGGGCTGGACGGGAAAATATATAGCTCTCGGTCATGAGGCAAGGACCTCGCCGCGCCTCTACCACTCAATCAATAAGTACACAGTATTTCGGTTTTCTACATCACACTTTTATTACTAATGTAATTGAACATGAAAAAAAGGTGTTATTCTATTTTTAATGGGGAACGTCAGGCTTTAGTGTTTACCCCTTTGAACGGTTGGATTTTCATCACACGATTTATCGCAGCACAACCTAAGTGTCATTCTTCAAACGTAAAGCTATCTTTAAGTGATAATCGACTAATTGTCTTAGTAAACTTTTCATTTTCTAGCGGGTGTGATTTGCATGATCGAAGCCAAAATTGCTAAAAAAAATTGAGTGACTGTATTTCGGTTTGGCACGTCACACTTTTATAACTAATGATGGGTTTTAGCATCCAAAAATGAAACATGTTGCTCTCTTTAACGGGAAACGTTAGGCTTCAGTGGTCATCCCTTTTAGACCGGTTGGATTTTCTTCACGAGATCGGTCAGATCGAGAGTACAATTTGAGATTCTATCTTTAAACAGTAAGCTATTTGTGCGTGAAAATCGAGGCATTGTACCCATGAAATTTTCATTTTCTTGCGGGAGTGATTTGCATGATCGAAGACAAAAACACTGACTGTTATAATAGACGAAAAACAAAACGGACGGATTGGATCAGTAATTTGCTCGAAAATAACAATATCACTGGTCTTACCTCATTTGAAAGATAAAAATTTTATATTATTTAGGTTCTTCCTTGTCTTAGAAAAATAACAAACAACTGTAGGCTTGACAAGCTTGCTTCTCGTTCAATTTAGTATTGATGTCAACATTAACTGATTTCTCCAATTTCATTTTTCCAAGGCTACACGGTCAAAGCCAAACAAGTCGCATCTGAGAACTATGGGCTCATTGTAGTAGGAGGGGGGTCTCAATGGGGTGATGGCTTTTACAGCTAACAGTTAAAATTTTGCCTGTTACAACTAACTGTTTTTTCTTTTTTTGAGATAAATATTTTTACGACTTACGCTTAAAGTTTGACAATTTTTACGCTTAACGGTTAAATTTTTTGGCCGTTTTATGGCTATCGGTTAACTCCATTGAGACCCTCTGTAAGTATATGACGTCTTAAATAAGAAGTAAATAAATGAAATTAAAAACGTTCTTACTGTAATTGTTTGCTATCATATACACCTGACAAATTGTTCTCCAAGGAGGAATGATTTTCAGTCGTTCAAATTGCTAGATATTTCAGCAGGCTATCATCCCTTAAAAAAGCCGATCTCCTGAACGGAGTTGTAAATGCCTCTTTGGAGGATGAATATAAGATCAGATACGTTAACAAAGCAGAGGCGATGGAGAAGAGACTTCAAATAGGAATCGATTGGACTTTGGACGTTGTTTTCGTAGTACATGATAGTTTGGCGAGTGTGTTGCGAGAAAAGGAGCGGAAAAAACACGTTTTAACTTTAAAATTATACGATAAAAATAAATGCGAACCTTTCATATCCCGATAAATCTCAACCTCACTCGTCGAGGCTCTTTGCAAAGGCCACAATCATAACGCTTATCGAATGAGCCCAAAATTTCTGGTTACTGTCATTCTTTGTGCACAGCCACTGATTCCATGACACCATTTAAAAGAAAACAATACCCAAATGCTGTGATTGGTGTCTCATTTCAGATAGGTTATTGGTATACTCGATTGCTTGTTTCATCGCCAGCAAATTGCTCCTTCGGTCAAATGCATATGTCTCAAAATAAGATTAAAGTCTGTGATCCTGAACACAGGTCATAACCTTAAACATTTCCGAGGCCACCCCTTTAAGAAATTGAAAGAAAGCTGTCACTTATGATAATAAACTCCCTGTACACAGTCATGTCCAAACTGAGATAAATCCTAAATCTTACAGATGCAGATCAAACTGAAATTATATACGTTGCTTAGTAGTCAGCTTATAAAACAACCGCCAGTTTTACTCAGTGAAAAAGCTTTTAAACTCCAATTTACCCTGTTATACTCTCCCACCGACACAGCACCGCAGTTCCTTAGAAACTGACCCTTTACTAAAATGTTATCTATGACCGCGGTACCTGATCTCTAAGGGTACTCATGTCAAGTTCGCGCGCTTTGCTGAGCATGAATTGTATATTTTTACACTATGTAAGCGGCAAAAAAACCGCGCCGCCCCCCCCCCCCCCCCCCCCCAAACTTGGCTCAAGGTCTCAGGGTCTGGATCCACCACTGATAGCTTTAGCTTTGTGCGATAAGAGAAATCTTGCATACTGCATAAAGACCACTAATTGCAAATTTACAAACATGAGATAAACACAAGATTTTTACTACAAGTTGGCCATAGGTATTCAACTGATGTTCTTTCTAACTCAGCTTTCCTTCTCGTCAAGGAAGGATTTCCCAGAATGCAATGAGAAGGTTTCCTACCTGCAATGACTTATGGGAGAAAAGCAATATGGCGGACGCGTAATGCTGTCTAGTGCATCTTCCACGTGTGGATCAACTTTCCCTGAGTCGCTGGAGGGCTGAGGTTCAATAGGGATGACTTCTATTATCAAGTTGTCAGTTTTGTCTGGAGCGTATGATGAAGGGCCTCTTTGTTACCTTCTTCAAGTCGACGAGTTCAGATTCCTTCTTGACTGCGGTTGGAACGAGTCATTCAACGCAGAGATCATAGAACCTATAAAGAAGTAAGTGTCTGGTAAACTTTTGCCTGGAATCAACAATTAACTTCGGTTTCTTTTGGGTAGGAGTACTAAACCTGCGTTTAAGAGAGTTTTGCAGAGGGGCTTACACCTCTACTCAGAGTAATGGTCATCAACGGTTGTGAATATATGGAAGTCATACATTTGAACTGCGGTGAAAGACGTGAATATGAAAGTGATCTTCGCAGTAATGAACACTACTTAAGCAGTAGTTAAAAGAAGGCCTGAAAAAAATTCAGGCCTGTACGGAATTTGAACCCATGACCTCTGCGATACCGGTGCAGTGCTTTACCAACTGAGCTAACAAGCCAACTGGGAGCTGGGCACTGTATTGGTTCCAAATAAACCCATGAAGTGGTAAATAAACGGTTGCGAATATATGGAAGTCATATATTTGAACTGCAGTTAAAGACGTGAATATGAAAGCAATCTTCGCAGTAATGAACATTACTTAACTAGTATTGAAAAGAAGGCCTGAAAAAAATTCAGGCCTGTATGGGATTTGAACCCATGACCTCTGCGATACCGGTCATTGTTGGACAGCATTTACACACATGTATCGCTAGCGTGCATGACTCTTTCAGATTGATGGGTGGCTTGTTTTGAAAATTTTATTTATATCATGAATCTTTTACCATAGGTACATACATCAGATAGATGCTGTACTGATCACATTTCCTGATATATACCACATGGGTGCACTGCCATACTTGGTGGGTAAATGTGGTCTTCACTGTCCAATCTATGCCACTATTCCTGTGTACAAGATGGGTCAGATGTTTATGTATGACCTATATCAGGTATGTGCAAGTTTCAGACTCTGACTATTACTTTCAAAATCAATGGCTTGATTTACATGTATCTCTCAAATAGCATACAGGTAAAATTACATGTATCTTTAATTTGGGTTGTGGTAATTTGTGGTGGTGAAGTACAATGATTGAAAAATATAATAGTTCGTCACCCAGTGTGACAGTTCTGATGTAGATCATATCTTCCTTACTACATGTTGCTACTTGAAGCCTTCTCCAGATAATAAGGCTGACTAGAAAGTTTTAAATCTCATGAGTAACCAAGACAGAATTTCTTGTCTTAACATCACTACAATATCAAACAGGGAAATGATGAAATGATGAGAATAAAGGAAAATATCAATTAGGGGATTATTAGTTGATCCAATACCAAATTCACCAAACTAACATAATTAGAATTGTATGGCAGATAGTAAAGAGAGTTACTAATGAGGTCTGGGGAATAAATGGGTTAAGACTTATAGTAGAGCTCCTTAAAGCCAAAGTAATGCAGCTTGACACTCATTACAACATTCTACAATAATTGAGATTTTCCTCCTTCTCTTTACTGTTTTATCCAGCTATATTGGGCAGTGAGGCCTTTTTCAGCAATTTCTTGTGGTTCCCAAAATAATTTATCAACTCACTATTTTTAGATGATACAGTATCTTTTGTGATTTACTTGCTATCATTTGAACAGTTAATGACAAATTGCTGAACATTTTGTCTTTCAGTCACATCAAAACTATGAAGAATTTGATGTATTTAGCCTGGATGATGTAGATGCTGCCTTTGATAAAATCATTCAGCTTAAGTACTCTCAAAATGTCAGCTTGAAAGGTCAGGATATATATATTTTTTTCATAACAAGCACCTACTGATTTCTTTTGTTATTGTTTTTTGTTTCTGTTGGAAATTTGCTATAAGGTGATATTCAATAAGATGTATGAAAATGCTGAAATAACTACAGAATTACTAAGTTCTGTTTTGAAATTTGCAAAAATGAATTATTTTGAATTAGTTCTAAATCATTGACTATTTTCTGAGATATTCAGAACAAAAAGTAATTTGAAGAAAGTACAAGGCAGGCACATTTATAAATGGTAATTCCAAATTGATAATAAATTTATGAATAACATCTATACCTCATAATTCTTATTGTATTCTGTTGTAACAGTTTTTGTGTCACTTGGAGGTAGGTGAATTGTCTTGCTAAGGATTGTTGTTCCTTTTCGTAGTATTACTACCCTTGTGGTGAAATTAGAGGGTTCCAGTTTTCTCTTGAAGAGTTTCAGATTTTATGTAGACAAACATGTATTTGAGAGAGCTGAAATTCTAGTCAGTCATTTTTTTGAGTTCTATTATTTTTTGAAAAATTTTGCAGGTAAAGGCCATGGTTTGACCATAACACCTTATGCAGCTGGTCACATGATTGGTGGAACCATGTGGAAAATTGTGAAGGATGGTGAGGAGGACATAATTTATGCTGTAGACTACAATCACAAGAAAGAAAGGTTGGTGACAGTGATCATACCAGTAACCTGTTATTTGCTTGACAGAGCATGTATTTCACCTGAGTTGCTTGCTTATGGTCTACATGCATCTGTTCAGATCATGTCAGTGGATCTAGTTTCTTGCCAACAAAGTTCACAAAAAATCATTTCAAGTTGTTTATAAGGCTTAAGTATGGGATCTGTATTTGACATTGATTCCATTCTCTCATGATTACCCAATGAGATTCCTGGGACATTTATTGATTTCTGAAAGGTACATTGTACAGAAGTATAGATGAGACAGCTAACCATGAGAAAGGAAAATACACTATTTGATCTCACAATTGACTAAAGAAGGAGTACAGTACATGTTAAATAAGTATGTGCCTTTTTACAGTATGTGACCAGTGTTCAAGTTTCAGCAACCAATGGCTGCTAAGCTCCTTCACTTGTGAGCATGGCTAAAATTACAGTATTAAGCTTACCCAATTTGATAGAGTTTTGTAGCTTTGCTGGTTGGTTTTTTCTTATCTTGTGTTTCCCTCAATTTTAACACACAGTAAGTTAAATTTGTACCAAAATTTGACCTTGAAATGTACTTTTCTTAAGAAAAAAATCAAACAAAGGTTTTATGTGAATTACTGCCAAGTGCCTGGCACAATGTGGGCTAGAAAACCTGAATTTTAGAGAGTGGTCCCTGAATTATCTCTTGATTATAGCATTGTAATTGATTATGAGCTGGGCTTTCCCTCACCAGGCATTTGAATGGAGCTGTTTTGGAAACCCTTAGCAGACCATCGTTGCTTATTACAGACAGCTACAATGCACTTAACGTACAAACTAGAAGAAGAGAGAGAGACACCCAGCTAATGAGTAAGAACTAACAATGAACATAAGAAACAAAATGTCAGGATGAATTCTTAAGTGGTTAAATAATTATTACTTTTTGCTTTCATTTATATCTGCAAATCAATGGTATAATCACATGTAATATCCATGTACATGTACATTGTATAAAAAGAAATACACTGACTTGCATATACCAAAAAGTTGTACAATAAAAGTTTTAACCCATACCATACATTAGTCATGATTGTCTTATATCTGTTCAAAACCACATGCAATGTTTATGGGGCATTGTGGGTAATAAGTGGTTTAGTCTCTGGAACAGAGGTTAAATCTTGCTTTTACCTTTGTATTTACAATACAGGACACAGACTAAAATACTGTAGCTTATATAATTATACTGTATTATTCTATCAATCTGTCTTTTTGCTTAATTTTCTCTGCTTAACAAAGATGAGATCCTGACTACAGCTAGAAGAGATGGTAATGTACTCATTGTTGTGGATACAGCTGGAAGAGTTTTGGAACTATCTCAACTATTGGTAAGTTGTTAATACCATGGTACATGTTTATCTTTCTGCAAGGCATATTTCACTTGTCATTTCTTAAATTGTAACTCAACACCAGAACTGTATACAAGTATGAATAACTTAATTTTTTACTGAAATATTACCTAACCCAAATGGAGAATAAAACCAGCTAATGGTTTCAGGCTACAGTACAAATGAAGGGGAGGAAAAGGGAGATCTTTGGAAGTTGACACTCTAGATGGTAGGCTTATTAAGGAAGGGGGCTTACTAAGGATTTTGGGCAAGGATAGAATAGTCTCTCAAAAGTGTTTTCTTTTCCATTGTATAGGATCAGTTATGGCGGAACTCTGATTCAGGTTTATCAGCCTACTCTCTTGCAATGTTGAATAATGTCAGCTACAATGTTGTTGAGTTTGCCAAGTCACAAGTGAGTATTTTTAGTATAGTCAACTCCCAACAACTTGAACCCTTGCTAACTCAAACATCATGCTAACTTAAACCAAAATTGATTTCCTCTGGAATTCGATCGTACATTTACTGCAATTTTACCCTGGGTAACTCAAACTCCCAATAATTTGAACCTTTTTCCAATTTCCCTGGAAGGTTTGAGATATCAAGAGTCTACTTTACATACTTTTTCTCTTAGGGTATCATGGCCAAATTATGAAACTATTTACATTCTAACATAATTTCATGGATTTGGTCGATTTCCATTGAATCAGTGGTATGCATAGAACAGTAAAAACTAAGAGAATGTTCTCCTCTCTTTTCAGGTGGAATGGATGAGTGACAAAGTTATGAAATCATTTGAAGTTGGCCGAATGAACCCTTACCACTTTAGGTTTGTATCAAATGAGTAGGCTAGGATTTCGTAGCAAGGTCTAAAATTAGCTGATCACAATCAGTCCTTGTATAATGGGTGTGAAAATCTCTGCTCTGTTCTGTAGATATTATTGGTTCAAAGGAATCTCAATTTCCCAAATACCCCTCAAAAGAGAGTTCGTTGAGAGGATCGGTGAGACTTTCCCCTTTCATATGGACCTAGGTGTCAAGAATGGATAGTTCCTCTGGTTTTTGGTACTTAAAATTAATGCATATTGATTTTAATATTGAATTGTGGCATTCATTAGTCATTAAGCTAAGTCGGACAGTACATGTATATTTTTTAATGGGAGTTTGTGACACGGCCTTCCCCAAGAGTGGCCAGTGGGAAGTAACCCTGCTCTTGGTTTTTTAGTAATGAATATGATCGTGTTTTCCTAGCAGTGAGTTGGTAAATGATTTGCCCTAAACTTCATATTTTGCCTTCTTAAATTTTTGTAAAACGATAGCAAAAATATACATTTTGGTTTAAGAAAAAAAGGTACGGCAAAGATTGCCCTTTTAAGGACGTTGTTTTCACTCGCCTTCTGTTAAAAGATAAGAGATATGATAAGAGGTCCCTTTCTTGTAGATACTGCACGTTGTGTCATTATATGTCAGACTTGGACAAAATCCCTGAACCAAGGGTTGTTTTAGCATCAGTAGCAGATTTGACATGTGGCTTCTCACGAGAACTTTTCATAAAATGGGCTGAGAACCCCAAAAATACAGTCGTATTTACCAGTCGAGCTTCGCCCGGCGCACTGGCTCGCACTTTGATTGACAACTTACAGCAGAAGATCATCGATATAGAGGTGCATTGAGTTATTGTAAAATAAGAAATATGAAAGAAAGTATAAGAAAATTTAGGTTACACTGATGATGAAACAGAGAACATCGGATTCAAGTTGAGAATTGAATGTGTTCTCTTCTTTTGTTCACCGCAACAATTGACTGATTACTTTTCGAGACAAAAATCACTTTTCGTTATTTTGGTGTGTGTGTGTTTTTCTCTCTTGTTATTAATGTTTTTTTTTTCGGCTGGAAATGAACCATTAATCCTTTAACCCACATAACTTATCTTCAAAATATGAATTCACTAACAAGCACAAAGGTGACGAGAATAGATAAATACGTCAGCTAAACACCAAACTAATTAATTTGATGCCAGTAACAAATGAGTCTTCAAGTGTGATAGATGTTTACGCGGATAATTATTTCCCTTGTGTCAAGGTGAAATCAAGAGTCAAATTGGAAGGAGAAGAATTAGAGAGATATCTGGAGAAAGAAAAGGAAAAAGAGAAGAACAAACCCACATCTGATGCGGTGGACAGAAGGTAACTGAAAAGATCAAGTCATGTTGTTTAGTTGCCGTTTTCTTGCGTCATTAACAAGAATTCTGTGTTCCGTTGGAATTCGTATAAACTGTCCTGGTTTCTATCTTCAGTCATCGCGTCACGGCCGAAGAGAGTGATAGTGACAGTGATGAGGATTTGGATGGAGGTGTGAGGCATGATCTCATGATGACTGACGAAAAGGTAAAAAAAAATATTACAAACACAGTGGGGAAAATAGTTATATATGTGTCGTCTCATCCTTTCTGCGTTTTTAAGGACCGTTAAATATTTGAGGTCCATTAAAAATGCAAGACTTGAACTTGGCGAAAATCCAATCTTGCTGAAGCTTGGTCAAAATAGTATTCGTTATTAAGCAAAAAGACTATGACGAAGAATTAATAACTTTAGTCATGTATTCCAGTTCTTCCTTTGTTAATGTTCTTAGACGAGTGTGTGACTCTATTTTTCTTTGCGGTTACAAAGCTCTCTCTTCTCTTTGCTGCATCAATGCAGGCAGTCGTGCCCGATCAAAAAACAGGATTCGACTCGTATTCCTCGCTTGCAGAGCTTAGCCATGCAATAAGTATTGTTTAACTAGGTTAAAAGGGATATGTTGGTTCAACGTCCAGAGTGCTAGTATCTGGATCAAGAGATGCAGGGTTTTTAGCGCTAGACAAGGAGGTTTTCTCTTACGTGGCTTCTCTCCCCTTTCATTGAATGAAATAAATATACTCGAAGGATGGAAGAATCTGTTATAGACTGGTATTCCAGCACTCTTGGTCGCCTCTGGCTTCAGTGTTCGAGCTCCTGCAGTTGTTCGTTTCGTTTACCTCTAAGCGATTGAATTTTGCTCGGACATAATGGGTACAAACCTATCGCTACAGCTGTACATCTGTTTTTCTTTATTTAGGGAGGCCGCAAGAGCAGCTTCTTCAAACAAGCTAGATCATATCCTATGTTCCCTTGCCACGAAGAGAAAATCAAATGGGACGATTATGGAGAGTTTATTAAGTGAGTCAACACTCGAACGTTCCTTGCTGCGTTGCTGCATTTAAAAAAATCCCTCTTTGAAGCTAGATTGCTAGAAAATCTTACTGTGGGATGCTGCTTTATATATTTTTCGGAAATACTTAAGTGCAGATTTTTTCCTGTTACTAAATGTCTTTTAGAGTAGTTTTTTAAGGCTAAGACATTTTTTGTTTGTAAGTATTTAACATGGCCATACAAGTTGGGAAGGTCTCGTGGCGTGAAGTTGCGTATCGTTTTGTGACCGTTTTTCGTTGTGTGATTAAAACAGGCCTGAGGATTTCATGATCAAAGAACTGGCAGCAGCAGAAGAAGAAAAAGCCAAAGTGGTGAGAAAAGTGATTCTTTTTGAAGGAGGAGGAATAACGCTTTGTCCTGATAGATGTTAATCTTTAAGCCCAGTATCTTTCTCGTTCCACATCAATCTAAGGAAGCTATCTCTCCTTTGTCAAATTGTACATCTTCCCCTCTGTAATAAGATAAAAGACATCTCCCCAACTCCTGCTTTGCTCTCAAGAGAATCTCTTTTCGTTTGTAATCGTTCTGCGGCCATAGTTATCTTTAAATCTTTTAGTTTTCCTACTTTATTTCTGGCGTTTGTGTAACCTTCGAGCACGCTCGCAATTTGGGAAGGGACCTTTAAGCGGAAAGTGAGATAAGATGCAAGACATTGAAACGTATCCCGCGCGATTCACGGATGGAGAGCTTAATTGCAGCCTTGACTTGATAAAGCCAGATAAACGAGTTTGTTATCCCGAAATTTTTTTTTGGCGTATTTGAGGTGCTGATGTATTGATTTGATTTCCGTTAGTAGCATTGTTTTGTAGCGTATGCTCGAGTTACAAACTGAAAAAACATCATCTTTCACTTTTTTTATCTGTTCTCCTATTTGAAGGAAGTTTGATCCGTTCCCAGTAAATTCTTCAAAATATCAAGACACTTCAAAAGATTTTCAGAAGTTTGATTCTCATTTTGTCTTCAACTTAACAGGAGCAAAATAAAAAGGAAACCTTAGACACGGAAGCTATTGCAGGGCAGGGTAAGTTAAAGTAAATGGTTCAAAGACTGCATGTAGAGGTCAGTCAATTATTTCCCTAGCTACTCCTTAGTAGCATGCAATTCTTTGGGTAAAACACAGTCTCCTTTGTAGCTGTTATTCTTTCGCGTCACGTATCATGTTCTCTGAAGGATTGCGTGACGATACCAGACATTAACTGCCGAAGAGACTGTAACGCCACAAGACCTTTCACCTAAGCAAGTTCTCAGTATACAGAGAGGTTGCCCTAAAAAAATTGGGCCACTTGATTTCTCTTGTAGCTAACTTATTGCATTTAAGATTCCAGGAAGAGCAACTTACTGGTTTTTCTTTAAGGTGAAATGTCAAAAGTGCCAACAAAATGTGTGGTGGAAAGGAAGCAGCTTAACATCAGGTGAGATCAAACTATCAGAATAACAACGTGTTTTCTAAGACAAATTTAACATATTGTATTATAGATGAAGCAACTTCGGATTTTGGAGAAATTATTGCTTCGAAGATGTAGCAAAGTTAATTGCAACAAGAGAACAATCCAACGACTTGAATCGAATACCAGTTAACTTGTCTCATGCTCGTCAGAAGACGAATAAAACATCTTTCTCTGTTCCATTTCCGAGCTCGTTTTTTGTGTTTTGTTTTGGTTTTATAAATTTTTCAGCCAATTTGTAGTCCAGCATATTTCTTGTTCTTATATTAAATCAGTAAACGTTTTGTTTTTTAACATGTTTGAATGTTTTTTAGTTATTCATTCCTACTTTATTTATCTCAATGCGTCTCTTGTTTTAGATGTTCAATGGTATATATCGATTTCGAAGGAAGGTCAGATGGAGAATCCATCAAGAGAATTCTCTCCCTCGTTAATCCAAGGAATCTTGTAAGTCTGTATTTTGTGCAATGTAGTAATTGAAATGTTGGGAAGGTAGCGGTTACAAAATTAACTGTGGAGTTAAGTAACGTTTTTTTCTCCAAAAAACGGTCTTTTTTGTTTCCTCATCCATGTTGAAAATTCATCCATTAATCGAGTGACAGACACTACAATGGACTAGTATCCCATACGAGGGGCGTCCTACTCGCTTGATTCAACTTAAAGCTGGATAAGCTCAGGCCGTTATTTACCTTTTCACCAATTTTTTGGCTTCTATTCATTTGCTCATGTGTTTCCTTTTTCACAGATTCTCGTGCACGGTGTTGCAGATGCTACAGAACACTTGGCGGAATACTGTCGGCAGAACAGCAGTATTCAGGTGAACCAGGTTTTTACTCCGCGATGTGGTGATACTGTGGATTCCACGGGAGAAAGATACATTTACCAAGTGAGTGATCAAGAATAAGCTTGTTTCTGTCGTCCCATTCTTCGCGCCAGAAGCCTTGGATCATCATTTTCTGGTGGAAAAAAAATAGCAATTAAGGGGGAAAATACTTGCTTGTGTTAACTTGGCCAAAGTCGGTTACAGATGAAACCTCAGTGTTTCTTTTCAACAGAAAGCTACTGAGAGCAAACATGCGTGACATGCTACTCCCTTTTACTCCGTTAAAGTCATCTACATGCATGCGACACGTTAAAATAAGTTAAGGAATCAGTCTTTCATTTGGTTAACCCTTAGGTGAAATTGCGAGACGCCCTGGTGAGTTCGTTGCAATTTTCCTGCGCGCGTGACGCAGAACTCGCCTGGGTGGACGGACAGCTACACATGAACGCGTCCGAGTCGCACATGGGACTGGTTTTGGAAGACGGAGAGTTGCGAGACGAGGATGAAGGTCACGAGAAAATGGAAACTGATCAGAGCGGAAAGGAGGAACCAGCAGATACAGTCCCAGTCTTGGAGCAACTACCGACATCTTCGGTTAGGTTTTAACACAATCTTATCGAATTCTTGCTCAAGTACTGTCAAAAAAGAAGATTAGTTTATATATCAGTACTCTTTTCACATACGAGACAATTGATTGAATGCTGATTGGTGCAGACAATTTTGATGTCGAAAGAGCATGTTAACTTGATCCTGATTGGCTGAGCGCTCGTCGTCTGTGGCGAAAACTTTGAAAATACACGTGAAATTAATCAAACACAAACCTTACGTTCACAATTTTCAACAATTTAAATCCGCGCACGTTTATCAATCCAAAAGAAAATGAACGTGATTTACTCAAGTTTATCATTTGGAAAGGTTTTTCGCCATTTCTAGCCATGTTCGCTCGTTTTTTTTCCCTCATTTCGTTAGCGTGTGTCTTCCTTAGCGAGTCCTTATTGCAAAGTTTCATTTTGTGAAATACAAAAGTAATATAGTCCAAATAGATAATATACCGAAACTCCCCAACCCACCCCCTATCAAAAACTTCAAACCTTCCGTCTATTCTCCCCACAGATTACGGGACACACCTCTGTGTATATAAACGAGCCTCGCCTGTCAGATTTCAAGCAAGTGTTGAACAAAGCCGGTATTCAAGCGGAATTTGCTGGAGGCGTTCTTATCTGCAACAATGTTGTAGCTGTAAGAAGGGTGAGAAAAAGATCAGTTTAATGTCTCTTTAAGTTCAAACTCACCGTTGAAACGTTTTGAAGGCGTCCTCTTGAGTGTAATTTTACAAGTTCTACCTCTCCGCACAACTGGTTGATCATTCAGCTTTAGCGGCTTGTATCTATTCCCTAACACTATGAATTTTCTTGCTTCTCATGTCTATGTTTTTTGGTCTTTCTCAGAACGAGACTGGCCGCGTGGGCTTGGAAGGAGCCGTGTGTGACGACTATTACAAGATCCGGGAGCTTCTGTATGAACAGTACGCTGTGGTGTGAACGGTGTTAGTATTGCATGGTCTGGTGATAAAAGACAAACATTGGTCTCGAAAGGTTCGCAAGATTTTGTAAAGTAGACCTTTTTACAGTTCCCGGCGCCATCTTGGCTAAGTAACCGCGCGCGCACAATAACGAGGCTTGGGTTGACCCGGCGGTTCTTTCAAACGGCTGAGCTGCTGACATTTCGCGTTCGAATGCACTTTTTAATGCGAGTTCTCCCTTCAAAATGGTTCTTAAATACAACGATATGGAAATTTCGGTATTAAATGACATCTAGAAACTCAAAACAAAAGATCTTAAGGAGATTTTAAAGTTTAATTTAGAATCGATGAGCGGAATGAGAGCTGACAATTCAGCTTTCAATCAGCCTCAGATAATAGACAGATCGATCCACAGGAAGTACCCTTTACTGACAATTATGACACTGCAACGTACAGGGTTAAGATATTGTAGACGAATATGTTGCAAACTTAACAGCCACCATTGAAGAGATTCTCGAAACTGAAAGGATCACAAGGGTTAAGAGCACAACCGCTTGTGGCTTCAGTTGTAAAACGAAAATCGCTTCTAATAACTTCAAATTTCGGCAAGGCACTGTTAATTTGATATCATCCAGAACTGAGTGGGACTTGTTAGTGAGGGGATCGATTGTGGTAGTGTAGACACATTATGAGCTCTGTAGGATTGGCGACGGTGAGAATGACAGTAACGATCATGAAGATTAGATTGCTAACTCTATCAGCAAATACAAGCAACACCTCGACCATCAAGGCGAGTGTCATGCACCATTGATGCCAATGAAAGGACAACTGATGGTGTAATAAAGGAAAGATTTCCATTTCTCTGAAGAGCTATGGAAATGTATACTCTGTTGTTTACCGATCATGTTAAATGGTCTTTTAGACAGCAGGCCCCGGTTGTTTGAACGGTGGATAACGCTATCCACTGATTAAATCTCCTTTCGGTGGATAGCACAGTATTTTTTTGTTCACACTAATTTGCTGGATTACGATTTAACAGTTGGTTAGCCTTATCCTCCTCTTGAACAACTGAACCCTGAGCGTCAGATGAACCTTTTAGAATTAAAAGCAATGGCTAATTCTTTGCATTGACTACCAAACTCTGTGAATTTTTTTTTGTAGTTGTGATAATAAGATCTGTTAAATAGTCCCAGTTCATGGTCACAGATTCCTCCTTCTTTATTAATAGTTTATTTTATGGCTCTATTTTGTAGTGACACATTATATCTTCAACAGTGGTCGGATGAATAAAAGCGATTTCATATTGCTATAATAGATCTTTGCGATGTAGAATTGTTTATCAGTACCCGTGACAACTGCACAATTAATCCCATAACTTAAATTTACACTCTACAAAAAACTTGGAGAGTCATTTAAGTTTTAGTACACTTTTCTAAGCACTTGAGGAAGACGGCGTCCACCGCGCTATGTTTGATCCCTTTGGCGTTTGCCTCCAAACAAACCTAACCTCGAAGCTCAGTGAAAAATATACGAAACAATGATTCAAAACCTGAGCGATCTGACGGTGCTTCCTACAACATATATAATGTTCAACTGTTCCGAAATTCATACAGTTTGACTAGTACCGGTAGTATTATTTCGCTTCACTTAGGGTTAGAAAGCTATGTGATTTAAAGTGAAGTAATTGTTTAGACCAGTTCTAAGTGTCTTCGGAAAGCTTCAGTTATAGTTGGCAAGTTTCAAATTACTTGCTGCAATCTTATTTTTGCATCATGAAATATAATTTTTATTTCTACCACAAGATTTTCGAAGTTCGAAGCACTGTTATTGTATTTTGCCTTCGAATAAACCATCGGCGTGGCGTTCTATGAGTATTTTCACCCTTACACTGAGAAGGAAATTTTCATGGGGTTGAACATACAATTCCCCATGGCCAAGGCTGGAATTGAGAACAAAAAATTCTACCGTCTGGCACAAAAGACAAACAAACTTTGTACCAGAAATACTTCAAGGGATAACGAAAGAGAATTGTTTTTTGTATATTTGAAAGCATTCCTGTCGTTATGTTAATTTAAAAAGATTGGTCGAAACAGTTTTTTCATCATAGCATACACGCCGAGTCATTATCAATAGATATCTCACGAAAGGCGCAATTCACGAAATGCAAAAGAAAGTATTTCCTCGACATTATTGAATATTTCACTTCTTAGTACAGAAAATCCACTTTGATGTCATGTCCTAGTCGATCTTTTTACAGTCATCTTTTCAAGATTTCACTTTCTTTTTTGTGATTGTAAAAGGAAAAGCACAATTATTTTGTGATTTGATGAAGTTATTGAAGTTTCGCAGCTGGTACACCAACTGCTTCCCACGCAAGCGTTTCGTTTCTTTAAACCTTCCCAACGTTGATTTTATTTGTCGATAAATTTAAAAATACTGCCGTTATTGCTCACTGTAATTTGCCACATAATGGCTTGCTGTGCAGCTCATGACGTGGCACACACGTTTATCAAATATATCAAATTTTCAAATTTGCTTGTCAAATTATGAAATTTCCGAGTTATGACTTATGATATTTTTCATGTTGAGCGATTTGTTTTCATCAGAAAATAACCCCTTAATTGATCCTGTCATTTTTCCTCCCTACTGATCGCTTCTCAATGTAATCATAAGGAATCGAGACATTTCCATTTTGGGGGAAGGCGGGACTTACATTGTCAAACTAACTGAACTAACAGCGCCGTTTTCATTTAAACTCTTTTTATTAGTTAGAAATCATATTTACTTGAGGAGGGATTTGTAAAAACAACATTAGCATTCTGTCACCTGTCTTCATTCGAGAAACCCCTCTTTCCTAGCCGGTAGCTTACTTAGCAAGGCTCGATTGAGGTATTACGAAGTTGGATTCAGGGATTCGTTTGGGTAGAAGGTACATGATTTGCCCTTTATTCAAGATATTTTTTTAAAGTTAACAATTAATAATGTAAGCTAATTTTCGACAAGTGATACCAGTGATTTTTCCTTGACATCGAGATCATGTCTTTCAATGGTCTACCACGATATTCTTAATCAGTTCTTCAGAATTATAACACAATCTGATTTGAGCTAACAGCAGGGAAGAAATCTTGTGACTTGACCCGCAAGAGATCAAATCACCGCATGAAAAGGACAAATGTATCTCTGCCTTTGAGCCAGCTGATAAAACTTGTCAGAAATAGTGTTGATCTTCCAACAAAACCTTTGCATGACACAAAATCCCCGCATTCCTGGAGCATGAAACAATAGCCTGGCTTCACTGGGACCCTGGACAATTACTCGTTAAAAAATCTATTTCTCGCTGAATATATTTCCGAGTTTTAACATAGGATCAAGGTGTACGAAGCTTTCATTCAATTTGTAAGATTGGTCATAACAACTACGACTATTTGTTAAAGCGGCTGTCACAGTGAGCGGGCAGGGGCGAATATCTCACGAAAGGTAAAACGTTGTACAAATCATACTCTGTGATAATAAATAAGGTGTTTAGCTTTAAGAATATGCTGAGTTGGGATTTCTTAAGTTCAGATTTCAGCTAAGCTAGCTCTTAGCTACTATCATCCAAGACGTATATGATAAAAAATAGGCTCATTTCAAATTTTCGGCCAACCTTGCTTCAACAACAAACGGACTCTCCTTTAGAGAGACCTCCGAAGAAACCTTCAGGTTGAACTTTTTGAAACTGAATCCAAAAGAGTGGATATCTTTCTGCTTTTACAAAAAAAGACCTTAATGTGATTGACTAAATAACGATATATTTTCTGCCAAAATCACATTTTGAATTTTATAACAACAGTTGAGTTGTCTGAGTGGTTAAATATCGGTATAATCCACAACCTATCTAGGATGTAGACGCTTCAAATTACATGGAAGTGCTCGCTTCAACCTGTTCATTCACTTCTAAGTAAATCAGTTTTAATTTATGCCTTAGCATTATCGAAGAAGTCACACTGGAATACATGAATGCCAACTTGGGACATAAAACACCAAATTTCGTGCCAAGGGTGAAGCTTCGGCCGAGTTAAACAAATAATCAATGTCGATATGAACATTTATGAAGAAACAGCGAGAAATGTTTATCATCGTGGCACTTTTATCAAGATTACACAAACAGCGTTAAAGATAAAATGTTAAAGATCATTCTTGACAGATCAATGTTAGTCAAAATGATTGATTTCTCGCTGAACATATTTCCGAGTTTTAACATAGGATCAAGGTGTACGAAGCTTTCATTCAATTTGTAAGATTGGTCATAACAACTACGACTATTTGTTAAAGTGGCTGTCACAGTGAGCGGGCAGGGGCGAATATCTCACGAAAGGTAAAACGTTGTACAAATCATACTCTGTGATAATAAATAAGGTGTTCAGCTTTAAGAATATGCTGAGTTGGGGTTTCTTAAGTTCAGATTTCAGCTAAGCTAGCTCTTAGCTACTATCATCCAAGACGTATATGTTAAAAATAGGCTCATTTCAAATTTTCGGCCAACCTTGCTTCAACAACAAACGGACTCCCCTTTGGAGAGACCTCCGAAGAAACCTTCAGGTTGAACTTTTTGAAACTGAATCCAAAAGAGTGGATATCTTTCTGCTTTTACAAAAAAAGACCTTAATGTGATTGACTGAATAACGATATATTTTCTGCCAAAATCACATTTTGAATTTTATAACAACAGTTGAGTTGTTTGAGTGGTTAAATATCGGTATAATCCACAACCTATCTAGGATGTAGACGCTTCAAATTACATGGAAGTGCTCGCTTCAACCTGTTCATTCACTTCTAAATAAATCAGTTTTAATTTATGCCTTAGCATTATCGAAGAAGTCACACTGGAATACATGAATGCCAACTTGGGACATAAAACACCAAATTTCGTGCCAAGGGTGAAGCTTCGGCCGAGTTAAACAAATAATCAATGTCGATATGAAAATTTATGAAGAAACAGCGAGAAATGTTTATCATCGTGGCACTTTTATCAAGATTACACAAACAGCGTTAAAGATAAAATGTTAAAGATCATTCTTGACAGATCTATGTTAGTCAAAATGATTGATTTTCTCAAGTTAAAAAAGAAAATTGCATTTCCGTTTTAATTTTACTTTAGTTCGAATCGACCAGCAATCTCCGGGAGATGAGTTCCGTGCAAATAATCCATGTCCTGCAGGGCTGATATCACTTATACTCATATTTTTAAGTTTACCTCAAAGAGTGATATGTTTTTCGTTTTAAAGAATGGCTATGTTTTTGATATATCAATCAAAACCTTTCCTCGCAATCAGAGATGTACTTCGCTGAAAATCAGACAGTTTGTTCAAATTCTTGGCAAATACTCAAATTTGTCATCTTTGCTAATATGTTAACCCACACGACGATATCGACGCTTTTGATACTAGGATTATATGTGATACATGTTATGTATGAGCCAAGGAATGGCCGAACTCATCTCAAAGTCTGTGGCTCCGTGTTAGATCATCGGAGTCACGAAATCTGAAAGGTCAAGGGCTCGATCCTTCGAGGTGGAATCAGATTAATTCGTTGTCTCACACTCGCGACAAAGTGGTTGATATATTCTAAACCTCGCCTCAAATCCATTAAGTTTGAACTCTACGGCCAGTTGAAGGAGCCTAGTCAACAATTCGATATTGTACCAGGAATGCTGCCATTTTTATTACCATTATCTTTTGTAGTTTTCTTCTTTTTTGCGGTTTATTGGGTGTATCATTGCAGGTGTATCCTAACAACGACCCAAATTGTTGCGTTTCGTTATAAATATTGTCAGTTCTTTATTTTAATTTACTATTTCACTGATTCGTGACGATTATCGAAAGATTGTTTAAACTATTTCCCGTCTGGGCGTGATTGCGCAAGATCTTTTCAGGAGCTATTGAATTAGCTCGAATGCTGCCTGATAGCCCCCTTCCGTGGGTGCCTAGGCTGTTTCTACAACTACTAAGCGGATAACTCGAGTTGCCAAATATATTAACTAACTTTGCAATCTTTATTTAAACTTTTTTCTTTAGTGAGAAATTATATTTACATAGAGAGGGATTTGTAAAAAAAAAAACACTAGCATTCTGTCATTTGTATTTATTTGAGATACTCTGCTTTCCACGCCGGCAGCTCACTTAAAAAGACTTGCATAAAGAATAACAAAGTTATACTCATACAATGTGATTTTTTTCCCCTTTTTTTTTTACTCTCTTTCTGAGATGTAACAATTAAAATTGTAAACTAATTTGTGATGGATGGTATCAGTGGTTTTCCTTGGCAACAAGAATTATGTCCTCTAGTTACTCTCCACAATATTCTTTATCAGTTTTTTTGACAACAAACTGAATTAAAATAACAGCAGGGAATAAGTCTTGTAATTGGGATCGAAAAATATCAAGTAACCAGTTTTTCTTTTGACATAAAATACTTGAATGTCTTCTTTCAAGCCAGCTGAAAAAACTTGTCACAAATCGTGTTGACTTTAATTAAAATAATAATTTCTTAGACACAAAATCCCTGCAACCAAAAATGAAACAATAACTTGGCTTGACTGAGACTCCAAACAATTATTTGTAAAGATTTGTATTTCACTTAAAATATTTCCGGACATAGCGACGATAATTGCTTTTTCTGAAGGCCTTTATTTAATTTCAGAAATTAGTCGTGATAACTTCCAAGATTTGGTACCGCAGTCTAAACACTGAGTAAATACGAGCAGATATCTCGCGAAAGGTAAGATGTAGCATGCAATAATCAAATACCAAAATACCAGCTCAGCTCAATCTTACTCCGGGTCTTAATTTAAAAGCGAACCATACCTCTTTTTGAAAGATGACCGTGCTAACCTCACAACTGGAAATTTACAACTAAGAGGTAGATAGCCTGAAGAGAGAGACCTGTACATACTTGATAAAACAAGGATATTTTTCTTCTAAACTCGCTTTCGAATTTTTCACAAACCGTTGAGTCATGTCGGCGACGAGATATATGTATAACCCACAAAATACAGATCTAGATATTACAAAAGTACATATCATGATCGAGGACAGCGTGCTCAACAACTTAAGTGGATTTTAACTAGTCCATTCGCATTGTTGAAAATGTTTCCTGGGAAAATTCCTACATAGAAAAAGCACCCAATTGCTAGAAAAAGATGACAGGTACAGCTTGAACATACCGTAATTGTGAAATGAAATTTTTTTTTAGTAAGTTTGAGGAATGTTTATAATTTAGGCCCTTTCATTAACCTTAGATTACACGAAAGCAAATGTCGAGTTTAAGGTCTTTCTTGACAAATCTATCTGTCAAAATGATTCATCTTTTTCAAATTAACTGAACATTTGCATTTTAATTTGATTTAGTTCTGGTCGAGAGATGAATTGCTTAAGTGTTTTACGTTCTGTGGGCAGACATCAATTGACGATTTTAACAATTAAAATCAATTTAAATAGAATTGGCAAGAAAGTTAAAGGAAAATGAAAAAAGTTTCCTATGATCACTCGTGTTTGTGCTCGCTCAGTTTGTTTTCAAGATAATTCGGTCCTTCAATAGAATTAGGTAAGTAAACTGGTTACCGTAGAGAGTTTTTAAAGCTGACGTTCCAAGCGTTAACCCTTCGTCAGAGCAAAGGACGAGCAGCTATCATTTTGGTGACAGTGACACTAAAACTGCTCACCAACAAAAAATTGTGGAGAAGAAATTAATAAAAAGGATCTATGATACTGGCCTCTCAAAGAGTCACGCGCAATGTCAAACATAGCTTTAAAAAAAGATGATCATCAGTCCCTCGGCGAGACAGAAAATAACTGGAAGGACTGAAAACGTACCAAAATTGAAGCTTTTTTGGGGTCCTTAGGCATGTAACTACTACTGCATGCCCAGAAATGTTAATAATTGCATAACGTTCGGATGCCATAAGGTCGAGACCTCCTCCCCCATAGAGCGCAACCGTGCGACACTCATTAGCCTATGTGCGACAAGGTTCGTCAAGTGTTTCAACATGCAGCACACTTTTTACAATAGTTTGTGTTCCTCTACAGATTCCTTCACAATATTTTTGCTTTCTAGGAAAAGATGGCCTATTTGTCACCCATTGTCCTTCTTACTGTCGCTTTAACCATTGTGTACTTCGTCCAAACTGCTAGCGCTGCGGTTCAGTACTGTTCTTCATCTGAGGCTCAACAGGATGCGCAGATAGCAATGAAAAAATGCAACAGCCAGATCAAATTCTGTTTCCTTCGCTACCAAGATCGTAATCCACAACTTCTGTATTGTAAAGGAATGTTGGTAAGATTCATCCTTTAAAATATGATCATATCTCTGAGTTAGCTCACTTTGATTAATCAATTTACTGGGCCGTTGTCTGTTGAACAAATTTTTTCTTAATCTTAGTTATTTTCATTTGCTATTTTCTGGACGAGTCTTACGTCACAAAAACTGTTCACCAATCTTTGGCCATCTAACAGTTTACGTTTTTTGTTTTCCTTGAATTGTGCCAATGTGAACTCAGAAAACCGTAAATAGCGGAAATGTTTCTGGAATACGATTTAGAGAAACCTTATCTGTTCCCAGTTCCCTTTCATGACTAGAGATTCCACCCGTTGATTGGTCATAATACGATAAAAATTTGGGGCATACTTTAGTTGTTCATGGTTTTCAAAGTTCCCATCCACACCAAAGCGTTCTCGTTCGAAACGGCACACTTTTTGAAGCGTCTTTGTCGTCTTTGTCCATCATCCACACTAAAAAGCCTGTAAACGCTCATGAGCATGAAGCCCTTGGAAAACAGCTCTAGAAGAAGAGTGTCTTGAAAATTCGTTTTTTTTCTTCTGTGGAAAAATGAAAACAAAGGCGTTTGAAGGTGCCTCACGTAAAGTCACCTCCATCTGCGTTTTCAGATGCTTTGGTGTGGTCGATGGACGAAATGTACCAAACGAGGGTACAAGAATACAAATAAAGTCCAGTAGTGTGGACAGTTAAGCAATATTAAAACGCTAGAGAGGGTGAGGATATTTTGATTCAACACAACACACAACTGCTTCATTATCTCCCCTGCTGCGTATGCTGTAAACTATCAAGGGAGTAAATTTCTAAAGAAACTGTGGTGCTGCGTCGGTAGGAGAGTAAAGCAGGTAATTTAATGCTAACAACTGAGTTAAAAACGTAAATTGGCCACCGTAAAGAGTAAAAAGGCTGATGTTTCGAGCGTTAGCCCTTAGTCAGAGCGATTGGCAAGGGGCTAACGCTCGAAACGTCAGCCTTTTTACTCTTTACGGTGGCCAATTTACGTTTTCAACTCAGTTGTTAACATTAAATTACCTATAAACTATCAGGCTTACGAATCGGATCAGATGTACCCGATAGAGGCTCTATCATAGGCTTGACACCCTTCCCTCGTTATTGTGCTATGATCTGACAGATAATTATTTCGAAAGGAAACTTCCTCTTTAAGGGCTTTTCCATAGCAACCCTTTCCGCTCCAAGTTAGCCATCTGTTTGTTTGTTTGTTTGTTTGTTTGTTTGTTTTTTTTCACCTTCCGCAGAAATTGCTGAAGTGTGCATTCTCCGAGAACAAAAAATTCAACGAGAAGTACACCGACTGTCGTAGTGAAGTGTTGGATGAGTGGATGTTTGTTGTTCTTCAGTACGTGTGTATTGGCAAACATCTGGGCATATGTAACGACTATACTGATAAACAAATGGCTAAGATGGAGAACATGACAGATCGTTACGGTAACTAAATTACAGTCGAACCTGTATTAAGCGGTCACCCGGGAATGACATGGTTCTAAACAATGAGAGTATTATAAAAAATTATAAAAAATGCCATGTTTTGCGGTAATTAACCTTGTAATTTACAAAAACTCACTCATAAAATATTACTAACATTGATTTTGGGAGATACACATGGATTAACTTACTTGAAAGATAATTTTTATTTTCACTTGAGTGATTGCACTTCAACTGACCGTTCAAAGCAGGTGGAGAACAATGCAAAAAGGCCGTTGAGTCTCAGTAAAGGGTAAACACGACCGCTTATTAGAGGTGACCGCTTGATAGGTGAAAACTACAGTAATTAAGTGAAAACAATTTTAGGACTTCGAAAACCGATCGCTTAATACAGGGTGACTGCTTAGTATTCAACTGCATCATACCATGGGAAACTAACGATGCAATCGATTCTTCCGAAGTGGAAACATGCAAAGGTCCTGCATGACTATCTTGATTATGTATACCAAGATAATTGGGTTTAATCAACTGAGTTGTTTATGTAAATTGGCCACCGTTAAGGGTTTCTAGAGAGAACTTTATGGTGGCCAATTAACATCATCAACTCAGTTGATATAATCCAATTATTATATAGATACTGATGAAATACCAGGATTTTTCCCTTTACTAAAAAACCATATCTTCATCATGCGCAGTGAAGATACTATTTTTATCTTTCACGTGTGGGGATATTGGTGTCGCCATGGTTACTAACATGATTAGCCAATTACAAGAGAGCTTCCCGCTCAGGCGCGCGGCCGGTTCTTTTGAAATTTCAGCAGTATAAATAAAATAAACAGAACATTACATAGCCGCTTGGGGATACGAATTTTATCTTCATGTGCTGAAAGTATCTCTCACGAGTGAGCGAAGCGAACTCGTGAGAGATACTTCCAGCACTCGAAGATAAAATTCGTATCTCCAAGCGGCCATGTAATATCCTCTATTTAATCTTGTTTTAGATAAAGTCGCGTTCAGTCCACCAACGCCGATTCCTGGCTAGCTATTCCCTGACAATACCCTAGTTAGGTCCCTGTTAGAAGTACTTCTCCTCCTGTAAGAGATGTCAGCGCATCGTAGCGTTCCGTTAAATATTTTAGCCCTTTACACCTTGACATCAGTATGCATATTCTCCATACTTTCTTCATACATTTTTAAGGTTCTGAAAAGGAGAATTTGTTTATCAATCCAGAGCTTCTTTACTAGTTGATCATTTCCTTTATTCCTATGACCTCAAAGTTTATTCAGGGGTGATCTTGTATGGAGAATTTAGATGCCAGTCACTTTAAGCGGTTAAAGGGTTTAGCAGTTAAACCTCTAACTCCTAAGAGTGATAAGCATCTAATTTCTCCCAACAATATCACCCCTAAATCAAACATTGAGTTCAGGAGAATAAGGGAAATGATCGGAAACTCAAGAAGCTCTTGATTGTTAGACAAGTTCTCCCTGCAAACGCCATAGAAAATGTATAAAGAACAGTATAGAGATATATATTGTATACAGATGTTGGGGTGGCACAGGAAAGTGTCAAGCCCGAGAACACAGCGCAGTGATTGCAGGCCATTAGATCATTTGTTGACTATATTTAAATTTATTTTGTTTAGAAAGCAAAGCACGGTACCAAGGTAGAGGCGTATGCGGGATGGAAGGTAACATGAAATTTTAACATTCGCTTCTTTTCAGAATTTTCTTTTCATTTATCAAGTTAATTCGGTTGAAATTTATGATAATGACTCAAACCGACATTCTGCGCCTAGTGGTTTCACTTGAGTTTTAGTAATTATTGACAACATTTCTATGATCAATGAGGTTATGATTGGCGGACAAATGTAGTCGATTTATCAAACTGCAACTTCCCAAAGGAACCATTCCAAGGATCTGAATTGGAGAGCAATAAGAACGAGGTCGTGTTAGCCGATTCTTTTGACTGAAAATTTCTCCGCTCCATAGAATCATCATTGATGTATTTCTGGTCATTTTAGTGTCTGAAAGTGGCAGTGCAACAGAATGCGCTAAAAGAATTCATCGCCAATGTCTCCGGAACTTAGTTGAAGACACAGAAGAAGAGGATCGAGCACTAGACGAAAAGGCTTGTGCAGATGAGGCGGAGAACCTTTGTGACGGTGTCAATAACTTCCTGAGCTGCTATTCAAAGCTGGTGCGGCACCCACCAAAAATTTGTGCTCACCCGGTTCCGGAAATCACCAGAAAATTCAATGATCTCATCCAAACTTTCAGTCACGATCTGATGTCAAAATACACAGAAAATAACGCGATGGCGAAAGACATGTGCTGTGTCCACGAAGAACTGTTGGATGAAAACCCCATGGAAAATCCCTGTGGCGTCCGAAACGATGATGACTCTGATTGAAGCGGGAGGTGTAGGTGGAGTTGGCGACACAGAAAATCAGTTCGAACTCCTGCTAACCCTTTGCCATCAAGAGCTGATCCGTAATCCTTCCTTTTTTTCTTCCATGTGTATTTCTTTGCAAATTTAAAATCCTTTCACATGTTTACTTAAAAGTGTATGAATGTTGTAGGAATAAATTTCATTTGAATCACTTGCAAGCGTTACCTGGAGAAGGCCACGGTTATTTTAAACACTCCAGCATCTTCAATCATTAAAACAACCTCCCAAGAGGAATATATTCGTTTATCTTGTTTCAGAAAAGCCTGTCAGGTTGGTTCAAAAGAACAGCGGTATAGCATGCTTTACTTAAACGCTGACGTCAAATGATTACGTAATTTCTGTCTCGGTCCCTTTCAACCATTTTGCACAGGGGGTCTTACATTTACCTTAGGCTTATGAGATGTTTTAATATGTTTGTGATATGTGACGTTATTGAAAGGAGAAAATTTCAGGGTAATCGCTGCTGGTAGCGAAGGGTTAAAAATGTAGGGGTTGGACAAAGGAGTTAGAATACGTGATAAAATGCAGGTTGTTTACAAGAAAATGACACGTGAAAGAGCGAAGTCCAATGTGGCAAAATGGAATTTGAATGGTGGGATACAATTCAAGCACGTGAAAAATTTCCCGATGTTCATGTAGCGCAATAATTAGGTATGTTCTGTTTGGACTTTGGACGTTGTTTTCATGGTATGTGATGAAATGCAAGTTTTAGCGTGTGCGTTGAGTAAAGGAGCGGAAAAACACGTTTTGACATAAAAAGTTAAATGCGAACCTTTCGTATCCCGATAAATCTCGACCGAAATCGACAAGGCTCTCGCGAAGGCCACCCACCATCACATTTATCAAATGAGCCCAAAATTTCTGGTGAATGTCATTCTTTATGCACAGCCCCGTAATTGGTGCAAGATATTCAAATGCTATGATATGATTGGTGCAAGATATTCAAATGCTATGATATGATTGGTGCGAGACACATACCCTAATGCAGCAATTTGATTGGTGCGGGATACATACCCAAATGCGGCGATCTAATTGGAGCGAGCAACGTACCATTCTATACGCGAACATATGGTAATATCGCATGGCTATTTAAAGTCTCAGCTATGTAAACCTGAGCTAAAATGTTGAAATTTAGATTTAGATTGTTGAAAGACTTTTCTTTAATACTTTATTAAAATTCTATTACTAGACGAATCTTTTAAAACAGAGCCTGCTGTTAAGATTTACAAAACGCCCCAACATCTTTTGAAGTATAATTTAAAAAGTCACTGGGTATAAAATCTAAATTCAAAGGTCAAAAGAGTCGTATTTGTTTTCAATAGCCTTCAAAGTCGTCTACTTCTACAAATTTCATTAGAGTTTCTTGAGAGGCTAGCACATGAGCTTGGCTTAACTTACTTCAAAATGATCAAAGCATCATTTGGACTATTGTGAACAAAGTATGCCAACACAGCATCCTTCGCGTCAAGGACATTTATAAAAAGTGCTAAATGGAACATGGTTAACAGCATTCAAAGCAAAATTCTTTATTGCAAGTTCCTCTCCCTTTGCAAGGAAACAAGAAGGGCTCTGGTGAAGATTCACGAGAGGCGGGGACATTTCGTTTGATCGACGACAACAGTTCTGCTCTATACGCATGGAATTCTTTCCTGTGTAAACAATACGTATCCCTCTCCTTCATAAGAGGCTTGCCTGTGTCCTGCGATCTTAAAGGCCCTGAAGATCTTTCCCCATGTAAATTATCCCTGTTTCGTCCCTTCATAGGCGTAGGTGAACCCTTTTTGGCTTTTTTTGAAGGCAGACAGTCTTGTTTATTCATTTGACTGCTTTTCCTCGCTAACCGTTTACCCGCGTGTGACCCAAAACGGGAATTTTTAGAACGTAGACCACTAGCTACCACAGACGTACTTGTTAATGTTTCTTTTGGGCTAGAAACCAAATCTTTTAACCTCTTTTTTGTCCTGTATCCAGACTTGACGTTACAATGTGGAGACACAATTCGATCACTACACGGATGTTTTTTGTTAGCATTATCTTCCGACGTACAACCACCCTTTTCGGAATTAGTCACAATTTTTCGATGTGAGCGTCTTAGAGGTTCTTGACTTGCTCTGCTCTCTTTGACTGGTGAACACGGACTGACTGCGACTGTATCTTTATCAGGAACTCGTAATGTGTGGTGTGATGTGGAACGAGAATTCGGCTGCTGAGCTAGGGAAGCACTGAGAAACGAGTCCTTAAGGTAAACGCCTTCAAGTTTTACCGAGCACTTTAATTTTTCGCCCGAGGAGGGCGGCAGGATTTTTAGAGATCGACGTCTGGGAGTAGAATACGACTTTTCTTCGCTGGAGCGTAATTGGTGACGTTCACTTGAAGCAAGAATCTTACTTCTCTCGTGGTCTAACACCTCATTGAGTTTGCAGCTCGTAGCTGCAGCATCGTTGGTCCTCTTTTCAAAGCTTGAGTCAGATGTCTGAAGATAGGATTCCTCACTACCTGTCATTGTTGAACAGGATTCGACACCATTTTGAAAAGTGGGTTTCGAGTGTTTTCCATTTTGGATTAATACCTTCGACTTTCTACCAGCTGGGAATATAGGTGTTTCAGGAGAATTTTTCGAAAAGGTACTTTTCAAAGACACATTCTGCGATGAGGTCCCTTTCAGTGAGAAAGTTCGTGAGAAGGGGCCTGGTGAGGAAGTACGTTCCGTTAAGGTACCCAGTGTTCCTTGTGATAATGCATTCTTCGAAGTAGTCCCCTGTGGAAAATTTTCTTGTTCTTCGTCAGAGACCATGGACAAAGCAAGAGCAATCCTGTCGCGAGAATGCAAAACAACCTGTGCAAGACTGCAGTCGCCATTTGAGTTATCACCGTCCAGTTCGTCTTCCCCTGAAAACGAGGTGTCACTTGGAAGTTTTGCACCTGATGAGGTAAGCGGCTGTACAACAGACACTGGTTTCTTGTAAATACTAGACAACCTTGGATATGCTGAAAAGGGACTCGCTTTAGAACAATTTATAGTAAAGGTTACATCACAGACGCGTTTGTTAGAATTAAATTCCTCGTACTGCAATTCCTCAGAGCTCTTTTCTTGTGCATACTTTGATCTCTCCTGATTACCCAATTTGGAGGCATCTTTCCCAGGATCTATTCCTTCAAAATCTTCAATGCATCCCTTGTAATCATGTGTTGTAAAAGAGTCATTTATTGTAGGGGCTGAGTCCGTGCAAAGTTCATCTTCCTTGCCAGACACTATACCCCCACCAGGTCCATCTTCTGGGTAACATGAAGTAGGCCCACTTGCATCGGAATCCTGGCCATCGTCATCTTCAGGGTCACTGTACTGGTCACCATCATCCTCTGTTTCACTCTCATCTTTGGAAAGATAATTGATATTAGAGCTGGATGGCTTTAAAGGAAGTTTGGTTGGGGCATGCCATCAACACCTTCCAACTCTATCCCGTTAAGGGAAAAGTCCTTCCATTTTTTGCTACCCATTCAAAACCAAATTTCAATCGATCGTAGCATAGCAAATTAATACAGCCACTTTAAATATATTCAGAAAATATTCCTGTAATTAGATTAAAAAAGAAACGTTGGTATTATACATTTTGAGCACACATTGCCAGCGCTGACATGCTATCTGAGACCTGCAGTGTAGGAAAATGCCCTTATCAAGAAGCAGATTACTGAAAAATAGTTTCTTTCTAAGATCTAAAACAACACTTGAACTAACAATAGACACTTACTGATATCAAATCAGGGGGCTTACCCCCTTTCCCCCCCCCCCCCCCCCACACACACACACACACACACACACACACACACACACACAGCTTACCCATGAACACAATTACCCCTGCTGGAGCATAGACACAAACACAAACATTCAAATACTAAGAACAAAAAAGTGACTGTCACATCAACACATTTTCCACAGGGTAAAAATAAGCATTTGCAACAGAGCAGAAAGGTTAAGGAAATGCCTGCTTCAAGCTGGGAAGATCAAACAAGAAGCATCAAAAAATCCAATTCTTGGAATTTCAGGGTTCTCCGTAATATACAGAGAAGATGGCCGAGTACATTAACCAAAGGGCTTACAGTCCAAGGAAGAAAGGTACAAAGCCCTACAGAGTCTGTGTGTTATTCCATGGAAGATGAAAGTAGCAAATGGTTGACACATGAAAAAAAAGTACCAGCAAGAGAATTGAGAACTGAATACTAGGAAAGATTAGTAGCAAATTATATTCTGGAATGTGAAAATGACTCTCAAGAAAGTTGTCTGTTCAAAAGCCTTTCTGGAAAAAACATTTTTTTTAATTTCAGACAGTTGACTTTTAATAACCCACACATTATTTTTTGAAAAAGTAGACAACTCAGAAATCTGTAAAGGCAGTTTCTTAGCCAGTGGATAGTGCTAAGTAAAATTTTACGATTCTGTTGCAGAGACAGGTAAATAAGAACTTAATCGGCCAACAAAGAAACTCATGATTATCAGATGGGAGAATTCACTCTCAGATCTCCCAAGTTGAACAAAGAAAATGGCAAAAAACTAATAAGTTACCTTCATAAAATTCACTCAAGTAAAACTCCTCCACGTACTCATCAGGTACCAGTGCATACTGAAAAACATATTTTCTATTGATATAATAAGCTGAATTGAATGCATGAAATTCAGTTGCCTCTTACTAATAATTTACTGGAGGACAGATGTATCATCACCATTAACAATATTTTGCTTCTTTATGGTGTGCAACAAGTAGATTCCATGTTGCCATTGGTCTGTTCAGTAATAGAGGACAAATAAGGGACACTCAGTTGAGACTTGCATGCCTCTTTCTTGTCCTTACCACATTTTGATGCATTAGTTACTAAAACAAGGAATAACCTAAAATGACATAAAATACGCCCTGACTGATGTCTTGACCTAAAATGATCAAAAATAACTCACACTGACTAAAATGATGTAAAATAATGTTTAAACTTTACTGAAACAATTTAAAATAGTAATTGCCAGTGATATACAAAAGAACAACAGAACTGAATGTGCAAACTGAGTGCTTAGTGTGCCACTTTAGATCACTCAGAACACCTTAGATCATTGTGCTACTACCAGTTATTATTGTGGATCTTTTTAGCTAGACTTTTTGGTTATTTTAGACATCAGTCAACATTATATTCATTTCTAGCCATCTTAGACATCAGTCCAAGTTATTTAAGGGTTTTTTTATTATTTTTGGTCATTGTGCACAACACTCAAGGTCATTTTAGGTCATTCCTTGTTTTAGTAACTACAGTTTTGACGCACAGCAACATGGACTATATTTTTTCAAAACACATTGATAAAATCGAGCAAATTCTTCCCTTCCTAAAATAAACAATAACTCTCAAACGAGTAATTAGTGTACAAGGAGAAAACTATGAGCACGTTTTTGCCAAAAATGAAAGCTGTCGTGTTAATTATCTAGACCTGAGTAACCCTACGAAATTCAAAAAATGGTCTTACATGTCTTAGGCTATAAACTGCGATCTTTAACAATGCAAAGGAATGCTGTAACGCAGTTGCAAAGAAAAAAATAGGCTTTAAGATTATAGAAGTACTTAAATACGACACATACCTTGGAAAATATAGCTTCTAAATCAGCCTGAAAGGTAGTAACAAAATGATTCCCAAAGCCCGCCATCTTGGTTTGAACGCGAGCTGCTTCACGGGATGCAGGCTTGGTCCCCAAGCACAAACATGGCGGACGCAATGAAGGATTACGTGTCTATTTGGTCGACCTGCACGATCGCTTTCCTACTAAGACTTTGTCTGATTGTTTATGGAGAATGGCAAGATAAGAACATGGTTGTTAAGTACACAGATATCGATTACCACGTTTTCACTGACGCTGCTCGCCATGTCGTCGAAGGGAACTCTCCTTACTTACGACTCACATATCGTTATACTCCTCTCTTAGCCACCCTCTTAACTCCAAACATCACTCTGCACATGTGCTTTGGGAAAGTTCTTTTTGCACTGTTCGATGTTTTAGTTGGATATATGTTGTATAAGATCCTTCATTTACGCGGGTGTTGCGAGAAAAGAGCTGTTTTCGCCTCGTTGTTATGGCTATTTAATCCACTGTCCTTCACAGTTTCAACCCGCGGAAATGCAGAATCAATCTTGGCATTCCTGGTCCTTGCAAGTATCTATTTCGTCCTCAATAAAAACACTTCGATGGCCGCCTTTTTCTTTGCCCTTTCTGTACACTTTAAAATCTATCCCATTATATATGGCTTCCCATTTGTTCTACTTGTGGGAGATGATATTTATGACGGCAAGAAATCAAGTGAAGGAACGAGTGACAATGTGAAAAAATCTTTAGGTTTTGTTTCTCAAGCCGTGGCGTTTGTGTTCCATCCTCAAAGGTTTAAGTTTGCTATGATTGCTGCAGTAATCTTTTTAGGATTAACTGGAGTGTTGTATCAAAGGTATGTATCGCCTAAAAAGTGCAGTGCTATCTTATTCTAATTGTATCATTGAACTGCCACAACTTCTCTCTTGACCAGAAACCTTAGTTATAGAAAACCCCATAAATGAAAAAGACATAAGTTTTTTGGTATGGCAGAAGTCAATTGGAGCTTCACTTCCTAAAAACAAAAAATTGAACTTAAGGAAGAGAACATATTTCCATAGCACAGCCCAAGTCATGAATTACTACTAACAGTCTCCCTTGGAGGTGATTGTATGCATAAAAACATTCAGAGATGTATTGGTCCAAGACTTAGAAAAACAAGCCTATAAACTGAGCAAATAGAGGGTATTTCATGATCAGGGATGGACTTATTTCTTTTTATTCTAATGTTGATAATATTTCTTAACAATAAGCCAAGGGAATGAGGAAATAAACTTGCATCCAGAAGGCATTGTGTAATGTTCTGTTTATTAAATAGATATTAATGTTACATTCAAATCAAAGACCTCAGAACCCCATTCAAGATGATCACCTGCTTGTTAACTCAGCTAGCCTAAAAAAGTACATACCTTAAGCAATGTTAGTAAATTGGAAAAAAAAAGGCCTTTGCTAAAGGCAATAAGCCAAATTCACATGCCTGGTATCTATAAGGACATTGGTATCTTTATACATGAATGATATGAAAAGAGTGTTCACTGCATGTAGTGCAGATATCATGGATTACGAAAGAGAATTTAAGTATGTCACTAGTATATATTTCATAACACAGAATTCCACATCAATGATTTTCTTTAAAAAAAAAAAATGAAACAGTGAAAATGCCATTCTTAGTAAAATGCTGACAGGTATGTGCAATAATTTTCCCTTTTCAACAGATATGGTTTTGAATTCCTTGAGCACACTTACCTTTACCATGTAACAAGACGAGATGTGAAGCACAACTTTTCAGTGTATTTTTACATGATGTACCTAGTAGAAGGCACCTACTGGTCCCCAGTACTTGGCTTGGCATCTTTCATACCACAGCTTGTTCTCGTAGTTGCATTTGGCATCCTATACTACAGGGACATTCCATTTTGTTGCTTTGTGCAGACATTTGCATTTGTTACCTTTAATAAAGTGTGCACATCACAGGTAAGTCAAATTGATGCAGTGAATCCCCTTTTGGTATGGCTAATGTTGAGTATGCTCCAAAAATATTCTTTTTTTATCTTTACCACTAGAAATTGAATATAAAGTTTACCACTTATTGCATTTTGCAATTCTAAAGAGTAACCAAAACACTCAGATTGAAATTGTAAGTTTGTATTATGTATTATGGCAGTATTTTCCTTATTTTTCAGCTTACAGGTAAACTCCACAACAAAAATGCAAAAAATTGATTTTCTTTACCAGAAATGCCATTGTTCCAAACTTCTAACTTCTTATCACAGGATCACACTGCATAATAGTCTTAAAACCTTAATCAAGGTGCCTAAAAATGGACAAAAAAGCTTTACTTTTCCTCCTTTACTGACTGAAATGTTTTTTCTCTTTTATGTAGTATTTTCTGTGGTATTTATGTCTTCTTCCCCTGATCCTGGATTCTGTTAACATCTCACTACAGAAAACAGTTAGTCTAACTCTAGCTTGGTTTGCTGGACAGGTGAGATTAGTTATGAAGATACATAAAAATATAATGTTGATTTGCTCATCTTGAATTCTGAATTCCTCTCTTGTAGTGCCACTTATTCCTACACTAGTTTCCTACTGGCATTTCTTTTCAGTTAATTGTCTTTCCTTGTCAGTTCAAGGTCAAATTCACACTGGAATCCCACCAATTTCTTACTTAGGTCCTTCTTATAAAAGAAAGTTGTAAATGAACCAAAGAGTACCCTCTGGAACATCAGAATCAGTACACCCACTCACTCCACCCTCTTTCTTCTTTTTACTTGGCACCCATTCTATAACACAATTTTTAACCTCCAATATGATTTGCATTGTTGTGACAGGACAGACACACAGACAGACACACAGACAGACAGATGGACAGTGGGAGGGACAGACAGAGGGAGGGAAGGACAGACAGACATACATAAATACATACATACATAGCCTTTATTTCCTCTTCAATCATAGAGTATCTATAAAAAATGAGCTTATATCTTTGAGAAATAAAAACATTAACAACAACAAAAAATTCCCAAAAATGTATTTATTTACAAGATCTTTAACTATGAATCAACAAGTTTGTTTCACTGGGAAAAGGTATCCAGGCTTTGTGAGAGTCTCTTTCAATCAGAGAGACATGGGTTCAAACTCTGTCAAGCCTGAATTTTTCTGACTTCTTTTCTACATTTCCTAAAAATTGCAGCTCACTCACCTACAAGGATCACTGCTTTACTCAAGCTCTTCTTTCATCATTTTGATAATTTATCCTGCTCTCGTTTTTTTTTCCTCAGGCCATGTGGCTTATTCCTGCATACTACTTGGAATACAAAGGAATGAATAATTTTTTTTACGTGTGGGCTGGTAGTGTCGTGTTCTTTGTTGTTAATATTTTGATTTTAAATCAGCTTGTTCGACATTACAAGAAAAAAACCTTGTCAAAGAAAGAAGAATAAAGCCTAAGTGAGGAAGCATAATAAACAGAAGTATTAATTCACTACTTGTTATTAATGAGTCAGTCATGTTTACTTTTTGTTCCGCCAGCAATGCTGGAGTTTGTTCTAAAGTTGTTTTTACCCTGTTGAATTCAGCCGAAGTTCAACATTTTTTCTGCTCAGTTTGATTTATAGTTGCCGGTTTTATGATGACTCAATAGCTAAGCCGCATTTTGATGGTTTGTCAATTTTTAGGATATTAAATTATGAGCGTTATATGCCCCTGGAAGTTGACGCTAGTGCATTTTCCCGCCAAAATAACGAAAGATCTTCGTCATTATCGTAAAATCTTGCGCTCACAGTCGTACCTCTCTTTGTCTTAGAATCTGAAGGTGTAAGATTCGATCAATAAACCAAAGAGAGGGTAAGCAGTGAGGTTTGAGGTACACCCTGCACTATCTGTCCATCATCATATGGTGCATGTGCAAATAACGTGAACTAAATAAGAAGCCGTGTATGACAGGTAATTCGCCTACTAAAAAACTCTTTTTCGAGTTTACACCATCCACTGCTCCAAGGTTCTCAGGCGTTTCCGTCTGTATTCCCTCTGCTACACGAGTTATGTTTTTCACGTTTTTCAAAGTTATTTAGTCGAGCCCGCGCTATTTTGAGTCAATTCTCCGCGCGCGCATGACGTTTATTATTACGTGGCTCTGTGCGTACCATTGTTCCATGGAAACTACAAACAACAACTACACCATGAATTACCAAACTAGGAAAACGCGTTAAAGCTCTGACAGTTATGGAAGAAATACCGATAGACTCAGATACTGGTCAGATTTCATAATCGACTCTAATGTTTTTGTCGTTCTTTCAATTTTTTAATGCTTTGAATTTGTAACGAGCCTCATTCTTTCTCTTGACCAGGGATTCCAAGTGAAGGTCTTTTTGAGAAGCTATTGAGTAAAGCTACATTTGTTGACTTCTTGAACACCTTTCTTTCACTGCCGGTAAGGTTTACAGAACTACCATTTTTTATGAAACCAGAAAATATTAGATAATATATCAGTATTTTTACAGTCTTCGCAGTCAATTGCCTCACTACTTTGTCGCTTATTGCTGGTCTAGATCTAACATCAGCGGTTTCCAACCGGGGCCGGGTTGTTCAAAGCTGGGTTAACCCAGGATAAATGTGAAATCTAAAGGCTAAAACAAAAAATTCAGCATACTTCTTTTTCTGTAGAATTTGATTATCTGATGCTCTAAAAAAGAACAGGGAAAATTATCTCGAAAAGCCTACTCCACAAAGGAATAAAGAAACCCGGATTAAAATTTCAGCTTGATTAGCGCTAACCGGCCTTGGGACAACTGGGCCCCGATGTTCAGTTAGGAGATGCATAAGTTCTAGTTGACTCTCTTTTCTACTGTCCTGGATTATTAAGACATGGTGCAGAGAGTATGCATCGGTAATAACCGGAGATATATCTCCTTACTAACCTCATATTCTTGGTCAGTACTCTAAGTTACGGACTGAGTTTCTTCCGCTTGGATTTAAGGCCCAAGCGCAAAGCAGGCCATAAATCCAAGCGCAAAAAGAACGAAGTTACGTAACTTACATTACAGACCAAGAAAACGAGGTTATTAATATGTTTATCAATAAAGGGCAAAATTACTGAGCGCTGATTGGTTGAGAGAGAGGGCATTTTTTCTTAATCGAGGGCATTTTTAGTAATCAAGAGAGGGCATGATTACCTGTTAATGATTGGTTAATCCGTTGCATTGCTAATCCGATGCTTCCCAGATAAAAATAGACTGCGCGCGTGATTTTCCTTCGTATAAATTTTGCCCTTTATTGATAAACAAGTAATCCCATGAGACCTCGTACTATTAAGGATTAATTGCACTTGAGTTTTCAAAATTTTCCAAATTTTGGAAAATTTTGAAAACTCTCGTGCAATTAATCCTTAATAGTACTTGGCCTCATGTGATTACCTATACTTATCACATCTCTAGGTTAAAACAGAAGGGGAAGATCTAAATTCAAAAAAAGCACTTGAATTCAGCAAGCCACGCAAAGAAGTACGGACCGCCGAATTGATCAATCATGGCACACATACTAATATAACAATTAGTACTAATACCTCTATATTTATGCATTTGTTACCAAACAGGTGTTTGGGAAAAGGTTGACCTACAATCAAGCAGACGGTTATTTCAGTGTTTTTCCTCCCCCTCCACGAACATGTTATGTAAGTAACGCTTCGAACTGATTCAGCTAAAGACTTACTTTTCGGTTCTCCTCAAAACATTTAATTTTGAAAATTTATTAGAGCTCCGTCTGAGTTGAAATTTACAACGAAAAACCGCTCCCAGACCGGTTCGTAGCCTGTAATGCACCTCGACTTGGGTTAGGAAAAGGGTATTGACTACGCTTTTTTAGTGTAATGTGCCACTGAAAAAGTAAGGACAACACTTAGAAAGTTTTTGTATTTTCTTGCTTTACTTACCTTGTACTGCGTGGTTTCCGTAGTGTAGTGGTTATCACGTCCGCTTTACACGCGGAAGGTCGCAGGTTCAAATCCTGCCGGAAACATTTCTTTTTTTTTTCACAATTCTTTCTTAACTCTTCAACGGAAAAAAGCCAAAAACTGCTCTAAATTAGTAACATAAGCTGTTTATCGCTAACCTTCTCCACAATATGAGAATCAACACATCAGACTAATTCAGGTCTAGGATCTTTTTTAATTAACAAATAGAGAAGCCTTGACTGTGCTCTGTTCTGTTATAAAGCACGCAGGAAGCGGCTAGAGCACGAAAGAAGTGTAGGGAGAAACACGAGACGTAGTCGAGTGTTTCTTCCCACTTCTTGAGTGCTCTAGCCGCTTCCTAAGTGCTTTATAACAGAACAGAGCACAGTCAAGGCTTCTCTATTTGTTTTATAATAAAGTATCCGTTAAATTACCCAAGCATTACTTTCAATTTTCAAAACAAACTTTATTTCCAAAGCGAAGAACAGTGTCGTTAGCATGCTCTATACTCTCATAAAGCACGCTGCAATAAGCCAATCAGAATCCCTGTTAGAATCGTTCAAATAATCTGATTGGTTGTACAAGACTAAAGCTGTCAAAAGTGTCAAAACATCAAAGTTCAAAAACCATCAAAGTTCACATTCTACGATAGTTTACAAACTAAAATAGTTCGGCAAGTCGAATTTAACACTTTTGCCTGAAGTTTTTAAGTCTCTAATACAGAATCTTGAAGTGAAATGTTCAATGAACTTCAGCCGAATTATGGCTCTTAAAAACACGCGAGTTTTTTCACATGACAAGGTAGAAAACAAACTGTTCAAGGCGAGTGTTTTTTGAATGAACGACAGCCGAATTCACCGGAACATGAAGATCGCTCGTGATGACAGCGCCGCAAAACTCGGCTGCAGTGACTGATGTGACTTTCCACTCAACGTATCGAAAAGGATATCAGAGCAAGCTCTAATTTTTTCACTCGAAGGGTGGCCGATTTAGTTTCTGAGGCTTCCTTTACTGTGATGACCGGAGATCGCCGTGATGAGCGAGCCGCGATGAACTTCAGCATGATTATATTCGGTCAGACACCGTCATGATTAGAATGAATTTTAACAATTATGCCAGTTTGGTTATATTTTTCATCCTTTCTGTTTTGCTCTGTTTTGTTTTTGAACACTGAACTTTATATACTGTACGAGTGTTAGCTGTATTTGATTTTTATTACCGTACGTAAGCTTGCAATCTAACTGAGCGTGAAAATCTTTAAAACTCGGAATGTTTATTTTGTTTTTCCTTTGAAGATTTTCGTATCTGCTCACGTTTTAATAACGTAAATTACGGCGCCTGGTATGTTTACAAACCTTTGTTTGATTCTTCTGTTGCTACTTGCCGGCTCGCTTCAGTTCCGAAATTTCACTTTCAATTATCGGAAAAAAAGCTAAAAAGAAGTCCCGGAAAAGGTCGAACATAGTACAATTGGCAGATGGCGTGACAGCTGTAGCTCAGCTCTATGCTCTATACTCTCATAGAGCACGCTCTTTCAACCAATGACAGCGTGCGTTATATCCGAACTTTATTATAAAATAAAATAAAAAATTCGTATTATGGAATGAGGAGTCTTTTTTCCCTTTTTTATTTAGCAAATTTTGATCGAGTGTCAAAAAAGTAAGACCTAAGTAATCAGTAGAGCCAATCAGAGCAAAGGAAAATATCCCATAAAAGCCGGCCAATTAAGGCTTAGAGCAAAATTATCAAGGCGAGGTTTTCATTTTATATTTGATAGGAGTAGACGATAAGATAGACAAGGAAGATTCTGTAGCAGTTCTTCGGATGTGTTAAAATCACTCAAGTTACTTGAAGCTATTTCTTTCGGAGACTTCGGCGTGATAGCTAAAATCGATATAATATTTCGTATTGATATGCGTTATTGACCAAGCGGGTTCAAGATAGTTGGACAATGGTCGAAAGGTTTTTTCTTTGCGAGGTTAGTTCGGCCGAAGAAATCGTGAGAGCTTACGACGCGGACGTCTATCTTGATATATACCGGTCGATGGTCTCTATCGGTTCATTTTGGTTTTTTTTGTTTGTTTGTTTGTTTGTTTGTTTGTTTTTATCAAACTTAGTGATGCAAGATTACCTTCTTTCCATAGCATTTACCAGAGTATCGAATCAAACAATGGGTACAGAAGGAAAGAATGCCATTTTTTTGGAAAACAGATCTTTTTCTTGTGTACTTGTTATACGTTCAGCTTCACGATGCCACTGATTACTCAGGTAAGTAGCTGTCGTAACATACAATAACCTTAACGTATGTCATAGAATCGAGAAAAAAGGCTCTCCTCGGCGATTGCTAAATTCGAAAAAAAATTAATCTGGTTAAAGAAACGAAGGTTCTCCAATAAAAAAAGGGAAAAAACATAAAAAACAAAACAAAACCAAAAACTGTAGACAAAAATCCGAGAAAAATATGGGAATCTGGGGAGGAAAAATGGAACTCCCTCTTTTCCATTCTCCCTCTTTAGCCTACTTTTCAATCGCCTTCGCCGGCTGAGAATCCTCGAAACATGTTACACACAGAATAACCGTCTACTGCAACCAACCGTTTTGATAGATTCCAAAACCGCTGATTCTTATCCTTACAGCTTTTCACCATTGTAAGTTTCAATACTTGTTCCAAAATTGCGTCTAAAAGTGATCGTAGTTTGATCATGAAACTCCAACCTCAATTTCTTTCAACTGGTATTTTTAGGTACATCAGTGAACAGAAATGAAGCAAGGACCTTTCTACGCACCGTGGAGGACATGCGCAGTCTGCAATTGTTTCTACGCGGCACAGCAGGGCAGAGAATCTTGATGTTTTGGATAGACGCCGAGCGATATCGCAGGGTGACAAGGAAAGAGCATAGGAGGTTCAGCTTCCGAGAGATTCAGGCTAAATATTTACGAAGCGGATCTCCCTGGGAACTCCCGGAGATCATGAAATGGGCGAGTTTATGCGGGGTGAGCCGCCAGGGGGAGCGAGAGTCCTCCTTTAGAATTCCAAAGAACATCACAAAACGAATGTATCTTTCTGATTCCTCGATATTTTCCGAAAATGTTTTCCTCCCCGTGCAGAAGATGGCCTTGGAACGTTTGAGCAGTTACTGGCTACCGAAGTACATACAGCATAAGAAAATTCTTTTCAAAGTAATCGCTGAAAAGCGTGGCATTTCAGTTACGGATTTAATATTGCAAAACAGAAGTATAAGTCCAATTCTTGAAGACGATGATAAGCTTTCAACAACCAGCTCTGAGCAAGACATCGATAATTCCTTGTTGAAGCTTTGTGCCGTTTCCTCTTCTGAGAGTAGGGAGGAGAAACTGGAAGAATGGAGACAATGGTTTTGGGCGGGAGTCGACGGTCCCGCCGAAGATGGACATAAAATTATGCCGCCTCATGATATGCCAATGGAGCTACAACTGTCAGGCGGGGTAAATAATATGATTTTAGTCTTTAATTTGAAGGATTGTCAAATTCTTTTTTGTTGTTGTTCATCTTTAATTATTTCTAGTAGTCTATAAGCCATTCCATTCACAAACAAAAACAGTGGCTAAACAACACAAACAATTCTGGGGTACCTTCTTCACAGAGCCTGCCAGCCATCTCCTTTTGAATATTGTAGCATTCCTTAAAGAAGAAATTTCTCGGCATTTATTGAAGCTGTGAGATACTATAAAGGGAAGATAATGATTCACACTTCCGTATCCGGAGGTCTTGGAAATCGAGAAGCCCTTGCGTGGATAGAATGCATATCAAGAGATTCTAAACTCTTGATTTAGATCTACAGCAACACTCGCCTAATATTATTGGTACGTGTTATAGGAGGGCGATAAGATAACTCAGACCTAACATCATATGGCTAATGGTATTTTAAGGAAAATAATTTCTCAGTCTTCTGAGTCCGGTAATCCGGTATGTATCCATCCAAACTTTTTTGACCAATTTTAGTTGTCTGATTGATGGGTAAACATCCATTTTTTTTTCCCACGATAGATAAGAGGATACGAGGAGATCAGTTCAGCTCCACCTTCGAGTCCAGTCCCTGAAGAGGAAGAGGAAGAGGAAGCTTGGTCTGTGTCTAGTTCGCCGGATTCTGTAAGTCCCACAGTCTGCAGTAAGTCGTTTTCTAAAGGTTCAAGACCTCGCCTTGTTTCGCCTCCGGAAAACTTAATTGCTTCAGATCCTGCACTACCCACTTATGGCAAGCAAAGGTGGTTTAAAAAGAAGAAAAAGGAGAAAAAAACCAACGAGAAGAAAGGTGCTTTCAAGCTTTGATTTTTTTTACCAGAATTTTATTGTCACTTTATTCTGACAAGTAAAACAAGACCGTCGAACGACAAGGAGCTAATTCCCCCAAATAAGCCTTGCAGCTATGATTTTTCATACCTCGCTTCGTGATTTGTCTGGCGCTTTAAAAAGAAGGCTATCACAAGGTGCCAATCGCAAAATTCTAGGAAAAAATGTAATTTCAGTTTTTGATCGACGTCCTCTTTGGAGTCGACTTTGTTAAGGTCCCTAAATAATGCAGGCTCTCCTTGTCCAGACTCCAACCCAAATCCCCGCATAGTTCGCATGCATAGCTGTTTGCGCGACCCTCTCTTTGTTGGTCGAGATATAGTTCCAATTTCTTATTTATCAACTCCGTAAGACATCTTGTTTGCTCGTTTGAAACTGAATAATATTTTCATAGTTATAGATGAATCCGAGGAGGAATTACTCGTTTCTCGCCCCATGCCCAACCCTCCTTTCGCCAAAATGCCTTCGTCAGCGCCTAGGAAGCTTAAGACCTTCTACGAGGCCTTGGCATCAGAAAGAAACATCATTACCGAGGAAAAGGATGAAGAACTTTATGAGTCATCGGCAGAGACCACCTCATCAAATAGGTCCTCATCAGGTGAGTCGATGAAAACGTTCATTGTCAAAATCAAAGGTCAACGTTTTCTTAAGATACCGTCAGTAGGACTTTATGTAAAAAAAAAACCTTCTGTTGCCATTATCCTACGAAAGGGTTGACTTAAAAGTTAGAGGTTT